TAAGAAATACAAGTGTGCTCAGTGTAACAATTTGAGAAGAGGTTTGTCGCATGAACCACGTTCTGGGTAACATGGCTTCGCCATGCCCATCATTCCCTCATCCATCGTCGGATTGTTTCGCAGCTGACGCATTTGGTCTGGAGCAAATGATATTCCACGTGGCTCGTGATAACTTGTCGCGGGGATGCTTTGTCGCAAACGTGTAGGGACCCAGCCTTGTCGCCCACTAGGATGGCGAGCTTTCGTCCAGCACAACAAGACTGCTCCCACGCTATAGGCGAAGCGGAACCCCACATCGCCAACTCATCGAGTGGGCTTCTGTGGCGTGAGAATTGCGGGCATTCCTGCGCCTCGAGAACTTCGGAGTTATGCGCAAAATTTTACAGTTTCTCCAAGAGCATAAACAGGAGGCAAATGTGAATGCATGCTTTCAAGCTTGTGTATCCATCACGTTTCCTGCTCCCCCTAGCACATCCTGCTGAAGTTCCTAAAACAAGGCTCAAATCCTTGTTGATTCGTTTTCGAGCAATAATGGCAGCCACTACAATCGCCGCTTGCCAGTATAAGGTTGTCGCTCTCAGTGGCCTCGTCAGCAGGCAGGAAAAATGCGCTGCTCGCGTGGCGCTCGCTCCGTTTAGTGTGAAAACCCGCACTGCCTCCGTGCAGGCGCAGCCTGAGGAGAGGGCTCGAGTTGTCGTCGCCCGGGCTCAGGCGTCTTCAGCGGATGTTGCCAAGAAGCAGGTAAAGTAACACATTTTGCGATCTATGATGTCCGTCGAATGTGATGAGGTTGTTCAGGCAATGTGAATCCGCTTACGACTCGTACCCTAAATGAATAAGCCTTACTATGATGGTACTCATGTGGACCAAATTCTCCGGCAATGCAGGCTGATTCTGCCTCAACCACGAGTACGACGTACCACTTCATTGTGGCGAACGCCAAGTTCATGCTGGACGAGGAGGAGCACTTTCAGGAGCAGCTCAAGGAGCGACTCAGGTGGCTGCACGAGCAGGGACGTCCCCAGGACTTTTGGCTCGTATACGAGCCCGAGTTCCTCGCGAGCTTCCCCGAGATCGCCAAGCGAGTGAACAGGCCTGCTGTGGCTCTTGTCACCACCGACGCTGTTTGGATGACGTAAGTGTTCTTCAACTATTTTGAACGACCGTTGTCTCAAATTTTGGGACAGGCATCACGTAGTACGTACGCAGCGGGTACGTGACTTACGAGGCAGACATGCTATACGGATAAATTTATCTGCTGTGGAGACCAGAGCCTCTTTGGCACGCCTAATTATCGCCTAGTATGAGTGAGGAGATTCACACGCATGGTGGTTACGATCACTCACTCTTGCCTGGCTTCATTTCCCCCGTCCCTTTTCAGATTCATGAAGCTGCGATTGGACCGTGTTCTCAGGGGGGAGTTCGAGTGTGACTCCCAGGAAGAGGCCTTGAAATCACTTCCCATTGAGAACAACTACAAGCCTGCCAAGTGGGACGCTCCTTATCCCAAGTATCAGTCGGACTGGTGGACACCGTATGCTGCTCCCTCGGTTTCTGGGAGGTCATGAAGCACCGAATAAGTAATATACCTCATACCTTCTGGCATGGCTTGTACATGGGGACTGCCTAGGGCAACTTGAGATGTTGCACGTGAGCAGTCTCTTGCTGCTGAGCTTTCAGTGGCTATGGCTGGTGTCACAAGGTGACGAGGCAGGGTTATAGCCAAGTTGTTCAACAGCTTGAGCCACGCAGGCTCGAGGCTCATCCCGCGGGGTGACCGATGCTTACTGGTAGCCCTGGGATCTCCCTGTGTACTCTGTATCTTTTCCAAGTGCATATAATGCAATTGCTTTTCTTTCACCCTTGCCGTTGGGCATTATGGTACATTGGATTGGAATGGGTGGAAAGAACCCAAGCTATAGACAGCCACGTACCACACGTATCCAAGCCATGTCAATGCCATTGCTCCTCGCATGCTTCCATTAGCCCTAGATGTTCATCTTGGGGATGCATCCATATGGCAACATTATGTAAACAGAATTCTGTATATTGTTCCTACCCCTAGTGCCCAATATCCACGAGATGCAGTTATTCATGGCAACAAGATGAGAGAGCTGCCATTTGATTTCTTCTGGCCCAAATACAATCAAATTTGTGCTAAAGCCTTGTTCTAGCGTGCACCTGATCCCCTGCACTATTGCCCAGCGAGGCCATTGCAGCTTCCATGGTCAGCTCAGCCTGAATCTCCTGTTCATCGATTTTCCCATTTTCCACAGCTACTGCCTGACCAATCTGCACGTGTGAGATTGGCCTTTCCAGTGAAATGTGTTGCTCCACCCATGTCTCAATCATGGCTGCTGCAGCCTCAGGTTGGTCAGCAGGCACTTGGTGTCCAGCACCAGTCACGACCACATGGGTCAAATTCTTCCACTGTCTCCAATATCCTTCTCTTCTTCCACATACAAGCCACACCATGCGCTCGGCCTCCCAGAAGCTGTCTGCATCGTTCCAGGACAAAGTTCGCATCCAAGCTTCAGAGCTGGCAGGCCCATCCTTTGCATCAAACAGGCCTTGAAACAGTAGCACGGGGATACCTGCTGCAAGAATTCGCTCCACTGCTGGTTTACTGCTCTTCATTGTATCCTGCACAGAACATTTACGCGTGTGATGAACGACAGAAGACGTGTGGCATTGCCTAACGAAGAACTTACATGCTTGGACTAATCTGACAAATCCGACCGAAGCACACACCTGAGCAAGGTGAAGGCGAATAGGTGGTCTGCAACTAGCCCAAATGACACTTGCTTCAGCGTGGAGGGCTTCCTTGACTTGAGATTGATTTAAAAACAAAGTAAGGTACTCCACTCCACCCTGAAATCAGAAAAACAGCACTTAAGTAGGTGCGTGACGAAGTACGTAAACTTTGCTGGCAAATTCATGTGTATCACAGAACCTGCGTCGCATGGTATTTGGCATGTCGTCGAATATCAAGCAGTGTTGGGATCCCCGTTTTGTGCTCTATCCATTCGCATAAGGCGGTGCGTGCATAATATGCCTCCTCCCATTCTTCCCTGCCAGTTGCTCCACCACAGTCAATCAGTGCACACGTTATACTGATGGAATTATGAAAAGGGCACTACCTGTCAACAAGATGAACAACCCTGTTGGCCTCCTCCTTTACATAGTCTGCCTGCTGGCCAGTAAGCATGCTGAAGGCCCTTGCGACGTGCTCATGAACTTGCACCTGAGGCAAAAAATGACATTTCCATTCTCACCAAATCCATGGAGCAGCCAAATATAAATTAAACGATTAAGGGGCGGGAAGGAATGTACCTACCTGTATCCGAGGGTCTGTGAATCCATTCCCGACAACAATTCCTGCAAACTTCACTGGGAGGCCCTGGCCTCGCTGCTGCTGCTGCATCACCAAGCAGCCGAGCTCAGGCACATACTTACCAGCATATGACTCCCCCGTAACAAAGAATGGACGGCCACGCAAGCTCGGATGCATGTCAAAGAATGTTGAGAGGGCATAAAAGAGGTGCTTTGCCACCGTAGGCTGGTCTTGAGGGATGTCCTCGATGCTTTCAGCGATACTGAACCCTGTGCCAATTGGATTATCAATAAATAGCAGGCCGTATCTGCCATGCACCAAGTCACGGCGTCAGTTCAGCATCAAGGATGCATTGCACGCGTTGAACCACGGTCCACCAGAAACGTACTTTCTGTTCCAAGCCCATGGGTTCTTTTCCAGGCGAAGGCTGTCAATGTCGTCATCTGTTATAGCGACTTTCCAAGGACCGATTTCATAGAAATTCCCTATCATGCTTGAACAACCTGGACCGCCGTTCAGCCAAAGAAGGAGCGGAGTCTCTGCAAGCGATCTTGACGGTTCTGTAGCCTCGTAGTATGCAAAGAACATACGAGACTCAGGAGTAGACGTGCTGATGGGAAGATAGCCTGAAGCGGATGGAAGTGCCTCCTCTGGCATAGGCACGTTAAGGTGCGAGCCCTCTGGACTGGTAGTTAAAGGTGAAATGTGTTGAAGAACATTATTGCTCGCACATGGAGAATAAGTTACAGCCTGCACGGGGAAAGATTAGATAAGTACGTGATATTCGAATCCAAGCCGAAAATGTTGCAATGTCAAACACTACCTTCGCTGCTGCCACCTTAGTTGGAAAAAGCGCCGGATAATCTCTTTTAATCCCTGCTCCGACGAGCATATTAGAACGCGAAAAAAAACCAGAATGAAGTGAAAGGACATGGTGTCTATTAGTACCATAAATGGAGTTCAGAGCAGGTAGACTCGAACTAGGTACAGCTGAAGCTGCCATTGCACGGGGACTGAGAACCATTCTTGATGATACTTGAACGGGCTGGGCGAACGTAGGCATGCACGCGTCGAACTTTGATTGAGAACAACGATAGTCAGCGTAGAATGAGAACGCTGATGTGGAGTATGTGGATCTGTATATGCTGAATACGATGGAATATAGAATGTGAAATGCGGACTGTGTGAACGTGTGGATTGCGGGGTTCTGGTAGTGTGACAGTTGAATCTGCCTGAATAGGTGCTTCAGCTGGAGCGGGACTAGGTCCAGACCAGAGTCAACTGAATTTCCAGAAGGGGAAGGTTTGTGCTGCTGAGCAGGAAGGAATATGCTGGCAATGTCAGCTGAGCCGTGGAATTTGCGAAAGCACTTAGCAGTAACACATCACTCGAAAGAGTTCACGGGCTTCGCAAAAGCGATGTGGGTTCACTATTGCCAGGTCAAATGCACACCACGTGGGACACTTTTTACAGCGCACTTTCTACATGATAATTCCACGTGGCTCCTAGTATGTTGAGCCCCTTCGTCCGTTGACCAGCCAGGGAGGGGGTTTGGGCGAGCGATTGCCAGCAGTTCATGGCAGCAAATCGTGCTCTCGAGCGACGTAGTGCGTCGTGTTCGGCAGAAATATTTCGTCAAACTCATGGTAGTGCCAGTGCGCGTTAAATGCCGCTGATTGTCAAGCCTCCGTTTAGAGACCGAGTAGTGCTTATAGCATAACCCCCTCTGGTGTCGCTGACCGTGCAGTCTTCCTCTTCCCACTCACTTCGACTGTAATCCGCTCTATTTCGCGATGCTTCGCGAACCGTTGTTACCTTCAACGGGCGGCCAGGAATCTAGCACCCATGCCACGTCAGACTCAAGGAGCACTCGTGAGTTTCGGGCGCGCGTGAACCTGACAATACCGAGTAGCGCAGCCGGCGCAAGCGGACCCCCGCCAAACAGACGCGCGAGCGTGGACTCAGCGAATGTGACAATATCGGAGGGGAGCGACCTTTGCGCCGAAGCGGATCCGAGGAGCAGGCGGAGAAGCTCGGGGAGCGAACGGGGGGAAGCGGGAGGCGCGGGGAGGAGGGGGAGATGGGGAAGCGGAGGCGCGGGCGGGGGGGAGGGCGTGCGGAGTCCGCGCAGCCCGGGGCTGTCGAAGCAGGAGGTGTTGAAGGCATTTGATGCGGCGGAGGCGGAAGGAGAGTCGGAGGCGGACTTAAGCGCGCACCTACAGACGGACTTCCAGACCGTGCTAAACACGGTGGGTGGTGAGAGCCCTTACTGCCACAAGGTCTGTTCATACTGTGTGTGTGCTTGTTGGTTTGTTTCTTTGTTTTGTTTTCCAGTGATTCGCAGCAATTGTCAGTACTTCGCTGATCTGCACCCATATTCTCCGTGCCCTTGGCCTTTGGCCAGATAAATCTTTTCGTTGGGGCAGGTCTGCTCTCCATGGGCTATGCAGTCATGCTGGGCGGCTGGATGAGCCTTGTGAGTTCGCTCCTCACTTAACTCCCCCCATCTCCCTCCTCCCCTGTGTCTCCGTTGCCCCTTTCTCCCTCATCATCGACTTCCTCTTCTACTCCACCAACTGCTCTCCGTCCTATCCTGCACAACCCCTCTCCACCACACCTTGTCCACGCTACCGTTCCCGCATTTCCCTCATTCCCATGATTTGAGTCATCCGTGCTGCCTGCTACTCTTCACTCTTTCCCCTATCACCGCAACTGCTCCGCGCACTGCACTCTGCCTGCACAACCCTCTTCTGCACCACCGCTCACCTGCTCTGCCCTGCTTCTAGTCTAGTCACATGCCCTCCTTCCACACCCTTTTCTTCCTCTCCCCCCACCCCCACCCTCCTCCCATTCCCCCAACCTCCTCAGTTCGTGCTCGCTCTCTGCACAACGCTCTTCTGCACCACCGGTCGTCTGCTCTGCCCTGCTTCTGATCACATGTTCTCCTTCCCATCCCCCTTCCTCCCTCTCCTATACGCATCCTCCCCATCCCAATGCACCACAGCTGGTCCTCGCCCTCTGCACGACGCTCTTCTGCACCACGGCTCGCCTGCTCTGCCGTGCATTTGACGCCCTCCCGCCCTCCACACTGCCGTCCTACCCTGCCCTCGCCCGCTTCGCCTTCGGCCCCCCGGGCGAATGGGCTGTGAGTGCCATGCCCGTTGCTCAACTCTGGTTTCTGCGTTGTGCATTCGTCTGCTCTGTCGTGCATTTGACGCCCTCCCACCCTCCACACTGCCGTCCTACCCTGCCCTCGCTCGCTTAGCATTCGGCTCCCCGGGCGAATGTGCAGTGAGTGTCATGTGTTCCGTGTGGCATGTGTTTAACCAGTGATGGTGGTGGTGTTGTTCCAGTTCTGGAATGCGCTTGGCATGTGTATCCCTCCGTCCCTTGTGTGCGCCAGGTGATGGTGGCAGTGCTCTTTGAGTTCTGGGGAGCGCTCGGCATGTGTCTCATCATCGTGTGGCAGTCCGCCCTCATCTTCCTGCCGCCCCTCCCCAAGCTCTGCCTCCCCTCCTTCGTCACCTCCCCTGCCGCTGCCTCAGCACTCTCCGCTGCTCCGCTCTGCCTCCTGCCCAGGTGGTTCTTTGTGCTTTCTTTGTTCCGAGGCACTCAGGGATAGAATCTGCTTCTCGTGTATCTCCCTTTTCTCTAATTGGTGGCTAGCACCATCCCATTTTGTTGAATCTATGTGCTTTCTTCATACACGCACCCCCGCTTCGTGCATTCATCAGTGTTCATGTCTTCTCATCAGTCTGTTGCTTTCCCTCCCCATCGATCTTTTCTGCACCTTCACCCTATCCCCCCATCCTCTCTTCACCCTATCCCCCCATCCTCTCTTCACCCTATCCCCACACCTTGCACCCCCATAGGCAGCTCGTGATAGGGGCCAGTTTAGCACTCGTCATTCCCACCGTACTAGTGCGCTCCTTTGCTCGCCTCACCAACGTTGCCCTCTCGGGTGTCGCCAGCAGCACTCTTCTCTGCTCCGGTATTTCCTAGCACGCTGCTCTGCTCTGGTAACCCTGCCTCCCTTGCTAGCGCTCGTCATCCCCACAGTGCTAATGTGCTCCTTTGCTCGCCCCCTCTGGTGTCACCAGCAGCACTCTTCTCTGCTCCGGTGTTTCCAAGCTCCCAATGCTTGCTGGTTCTGTACAATCTTTTCCAATGCATGCGTTTCACGATAACAGTGATGTCCCAGATGTTCCAAACCCCGATCACCGCTTCCCATATGTGCGCTCTAGCAGATATACCGACTTTCCCCCTCTCCTTCCCCCCGATCCTGCCAGTGATGCTAGCTAGGCACGTGGGCGAGTGATCCCTCCTCCACTGCGCAGGGCGCTCCCGAATATCCTGCCAGTGATGCTTGGCACGTGGGCGCTCACCACCACTCCACCGTCTCCTGGTCTCACCTGCCCATGGCATCCCTTGTTTCCCCACCCTTCTCCCTTGCCCTCCCCCCTCCTCCCTCTGCCAGTGATGCTAGGCACCTGGGCGAGTGACCCTTCATCCTCCTCTCTACCTGACCCCCGCGCTCACCACCACTCCACCGTCTCCTGGTCCCACCTGCCCATGGCTGCTGGCATCTTCATGGTTTCGCTCTCAGGTGAACCTTCAGGTGTTCAGGTATTTCTTCAGGCGTTCAGATTCTCCTGAAATATCAGCATGCCATCTGTTTCCATTCCATGATACACCATACCATGCCATGCCATACCATACCATTCCATACCATTCCACACCTTGCCATGCTATGCCATGCCATGCTATGTCCCACCTCATCATCAGGCCATGCGGGTCTGCCATCCCTCCGACGCAGCATGCGTACACCACAGCACTTTGACCAATGCATCATCGTCACATTCTCCTCCATGTTCCTCCTGTGAGTGCACCGCTCTGTTGTTGCTGTGGGGCCCCCACTGTGCCTGAAGCACAGAGCGTGCACACCCCATGGTGCATCAATATCGCACGTTCCTTCTCTGAGTCCACACCGTGTTCCTTCTGCGAGCCATAAGCACTTCTGCTTTCTTTTATTTGGAGGGCTCTCTGTGCGTGCTTACACTTTCAGTAGCTTCTCCCAAGTCCGTCACCCACTTCTCTTTCACTCCTCCCACCCGCCATGCCACAATGGGTGGGTTTGCGTGCCTCTATTTGGGGAATCGGTTCACTCAATCCCCTCATCCACTAAATCCCCTCATCCACTAAATCCCCTCATCCACTAAATATCCTTCCCCGATTCTCCTTCAACCCTCCCACCAGCTATGTGACCATGTGTGACCATGTGTGACCATGTGTGACCATGTGTGACCATGTGTGACCATGTGTGACCATGTGTGACCATGTGTGACCATGTGTGACCATGTGTGACCATGTGTGACCACGTGTGATCACGTGTGACCACGTGTGACCATGTATGACCATGTGTGACCACGTGTGACCACGTGTGACCACGTGTGACCACGTGTGACCACGTGTGACCACGTGTGACCACGTATGACCATGTGTGACCATGTGTGATCATTTCATTGGTGGATTCGCATACCTCTATTTCGGAGACTCCGTGCGCGTGCTGGTAACAGCCAGCCTGGACGACGCTGGAGCTGCTCCCTGGTCCCACCTCCCTATGGCTGCCGGAATCCTCACTTGCTTCACTCTTTCCCCTCCCACCATTCTCCTTCACTCCTCCCACCAGCTATGCCACCATGGGTGGATTCGCATACCTCTATTTCGGGGACTCAGTGCGCGTGCTGGTAACTGCCAGCCTGGACGATGCTGGAGCTGCTGCCGGCATCATTCTGCTCCGATGGGGTTCCGTTTCCCTCTCCCTCTCTGCCCTCCTCTCTCTCCTCGTCGCTGCTAGTGTGTTTACAACCATACCGGTATGTCGACATGCTTTTAACTGAACGATGCCTGTAGTCTTGTCACCATTCTCTCTCCTCTTCCTTTCCCTCTCCGCCCTCCTCTCTCTCCTCCTTGCTGCCAGTGTGTTTACGACCATACCGGTATGTCGACTCTCTATTCGGCCACTCGAAAAGAACAACCTGGATTTATTCCCTCCATCCTGAGCTGTATCCCATCTTAGCACCTTAAAAACCAATTCGTGGCTCCTGCTCTTGCCATCATGTTCCAAACCATCTCCCGCTCCTCTTTCCCCCCATCTCAACCCCTTTTTTCCATGCAAAGGCTCTGATGTATGTGATGTCGGAGCTGATTCAGTTCTAGCACCGGGCCAAACCACCTTGCACCCCGCTCTCCACCCCTTCTTCTCCCCCAGGCCCTGGTGTATGTGATGTTGGAGCTGATTCTGCTCTAGTACCGGCCCAAACCACTCCCCACCCCACTTTCCAATCCCCCAGGCTCTGGTGTATGTGATGTCGGAGCTGATTCTCGACCTCTCTGCGCGCCTTGGCCTGCCTGTCTCCTCACACAAGCCCACACAAAGTGCAGCGGGTCCTGCTGCCTCTGCTGCGGAGACTGCCTGTGCTGCTGGCGGTGAACCACCACCACGATGTGGCGCACAGCCAGTGCCACACCGCCACTCTGGTACCTCCCTGTCCCCCTGGTCCCACTGCTGCTCTCGACTGCCTGCATTGGATTTATGATTGAACCCATTAGTCTCCGGCTCTGTGTTCAACGTTTCTGTTTGCATTCCTCCTCCCCTGCGCATTCCTGCAGCCATAGCAGAGGCCATCACTCGCCTGGCGGTCACCTCTGTTGGTTACATCACTGCATACCTCACGTGAGTGTAGCTCTCCAGCTGCCTTTGTACCAATGCTTCTATGTTGTGTGTCCGCTGCTACATGTGCCGCCTTTACAAGGTCTTGTCATTTTTTACAGTGTTGGGTGGGTGTGCCGGGGCCTTTTCCTGTGTCAAATATACGCAGGTACGATGTGCTGGACAGAGTAGAGTCAGTGGTGGGAGGAGTTTGTTCTGTGGGTGTGTCCATGGTGCTGCCTGCCGTAATCTTTGACCGCCTCTACTCCAACCAGCTTTCTGTCATCAGGCTGGCCCTGTTGCGTGGGCTTATTACATTCGGGGTAGTTGCAGCATGTGGTATCGCATATATTAACATTTTCAAGTAAAGATGAGGTATGAAGGCCAGTTCCAACTGTCTAACAAAATGATTTCAGTTAGTCTTTGGCCATCCCCACAAGTTCAGCACTCTGTGGATCACCAAAAAATTCAGACTACTGGATTCACATGGAAATCTCACCACTGTCAGCAATGGTGACAGTGGCCTTGGGGGTGCCGCTCTGTGTACCCTCAGCCTCTACCTTGTACACCACGTCCATCCCCTCCAGCACCTTGCCAAACACCACATGGCGACCATCCAACCTGCTCACACAAGCCAGGCTCCAAGCAGTTCTCAGTCTCAGAACAAAAACATGCACCTATTTCCAAAGCAGTGAGAATCAGGCTAGCTGAGCACTCACCAACTGGTCTTGACAGTGCAAATGAAGAACTGGGAGCCGTTGGTGTTGGGACCAGCATTGGCCATGCTCACAATGCCTGGTAGCAGGTTGGGCAGAGAACGAAAGAGGGAAAGGGGAACAATGTTTGGAAAAAGGCACCCGGCATCTGTTTGTCCAGAAGCGAAAAAGTTGTGACTCTCTTTATAGTGAACTTTTTCATTCTTGACTCAATGTCTAACCTTTTTTCAAACTTTGATTGACCCACTTGTGGTTATGGAGATCGTGAAAAGGTGGACGCGCATCCCAAATTGAAGAAATGAGGGCTATGAGTTAAGAACAGGCTGTGTGGCGAACGCAAAGGGACGTACCAGGGCCAGTGTGCTTCAGCTTGAAGTTCTCGTCAGCGAATTTCTCGCCATAAATGGACTCACCACCGCGGCCATCCCCAAGAGTAAAGTCACCACCCTGCAAAGCGAGACGTGATTCAGCAAATCGATGTGAGCAGGAAGCAGAATTTGAAGGCAGGAAGCACTCCTGATATATGACACGTGCCTGCAGCATGAACTGAGGGATGATCCGGTGGAACTTGGAACCCTTGTAGTGCAGAGGCTTGCCGCTCTTTCCAATGCCCTTCTCGCCTGCAGCACAATGAGAAAGTTTAGAACAAGCCCGTCGACCAACAGACAGCCCATACACAGTAGCGCAACTGCTTACCAGTGCAAAGAGCTCGGAAGTTTTCTGCAGGTGGGGATAGAATGGGAATCCCAAGATGTGAATCGCGGATTCGGTCAGTATTTTGCTAAAACATCCACACGAAAAGAATCCCATGAATATGGCGACTCACCGACAGTTTTAGGAACAGCGTTGCCAAAAAGACCGATCACAATACGGCCTGCAGCAGTAAAACGCATCATCAGACCAATGTCTCGCTACCCCTGATCTGGACAAAATGGCGTGGGAAATGCTAACACTCTGACCTGCTTTCTGGCCGTTGATCTCCACATCGAAGAATACCTTGTGGGTGACCTCCTCCTTGGCTGCCGTCTTAACCTTAGCCTGAAGTAGAAAACACACTGTTTTAGAAACGGATAAATTGAGCTGATTCATTGGAGAATTCAGACATAGCTTACCTCCACGTTTACGGCAAGGAGAACGACGGCAAGAATCAAAACGGAAACGACGCCTGCCTTCGCCATCGTGGCGTAGCTACAGGGAAAGAGCCTCGAGATCCACGAAGGATGTGACCGCGATTGGCGGCTGGTAGATGAATTAGGCGAGACCAATCCTTCGGCTTCTACGTCCATGACAAGTGGAAAATGAAATGTAAGTTTATTTTGATTGCATCTGCATCTCCCATCCCACCCCCGGGTTGGGGGGAAGGGAGGTGGTGGTGGTGGTGTTTCGGGGGGAAGAAGGGAAATCTGTGCGGGTCCGGGTGGGGTTGGTCTTGTCAAATCCCCCTCTTCCCCACAGCTAAGCGCGTGCGCGCAACCCAAGACACCCGCAACTGTTCGCGATGCAAGATGACGATGGTGTTTGCCTTTAGGCGAACTGCTAAACAGTGTAACCGTCACGTTTACGACAGGGAATGGGAGGGACCGAAGGACAAATGATCGTACAGATGACCAAGCCAGCAAGGCAATTTTGGAGTGTCACAGATCTACACTTCCCCAACATTTTTGCCTTCACAGGCCATTTCCATCTCCTGCCAGCTGTGTTACCAATATCTCCTACCCTGTGCCTAGAGATGTCTCTAGAAAGAGTTGCTGTCACTTAGTTCATCCGCCAAATGCACAGCTAACGCGGCAATTCTTCTTTCTGCATCTACTTCAGCTTCCGGCGAAAACAGTCGCGACTTTTGACTCATATTTTATCTGGAGCTTAGTGTCTGAGGGCTTGATTGCGTGTTAGTCTTCCTGGTCAGTAGATATTTTGTTAGTGTCCCAACGTTTCCGAGTCTCGCGACCGCCGCCTTCTTGATTAGGTTTACGACGAGCTTAGTCAGCCTCCTCGATGGCAGCTGACGATGACGGCGCGCGTGCGCTACAAGATCTTTCTCTTTCGTCGGTTCCTCCAGAGGACTGTTCCAATGTCCCTCCCCAAGAGAAGGCATTCCAACATTCTGCTTCAGTCGGTGGGCCAGGTCCTCAAGCATCTAAACCTCCCCGGCATGTCCATTTTGCACCCACAAGCTCCAACATCTTTGGTATCCAAGTTCCACCTCGAGAAGAAGGGGAAGTATCAAGATCCTCGCAGATTGCACCTGAGGATACGTGGCGCAACATTCAGGAGCGAGTGAAGGAAGCCTTTGGCCATGGCCGCGGTGAACGTGAGGAGGGGGAAGAATGCGAGGACGAGGAGGAATCTTCGGGCAATCAAGGAAGTAGAAGTTTTCTCTTCCGCACTCAAAGTGAATGCTCTTGGCAGTCACGTCGGACAGCGGTTTTGGGGGCTACATTGGGTACACCACGCAACCGCTCCCCGTTGACAAAGGCACACTCACAGCCATCCTCCACTATTGAGGACATGAAGGTCAAGGACCAACCCTGACAGCTCTAAGATTGCCCATCTGTGCAGCAGTCTAGATTATCAATGTAGTGCACAATGAGTTGCTGTCTCATGATTTAATGTATCCGTTTTTTTCAAAGGAATGGGACAGAATGCGTTTAGTCAAGGGCATAGCTAAAGCATTTTTTGTTTGCAATTGCACATTTGCTTGCTGTTTCCACAAAAAAGTGGACTGAAAGCTGTGGTGTGGTTAGCACAGTTGGAGAAAAGGAATTCTGCACTACAAAAGAGATTCTTTTGACAAAGCTGTTAGGATAGGAGAGAGGAGGTGCTAGCGGTATGCTAACTAATGGAGTACGGTACTATGCACAGAGTCTGCAGGTCGGGGAAAGAGGGGGGCTGTGCATCCTCAAAGAGATGCTAGCAAGAGCCCTTATCCAAGCTTTCAGCACCCTAAATTAAGCTCTTGCAGTTCTCACACGCCTAGCAAAAGGATGCTTCTAATGCAAGCGTTTGTCTGTTGGCAGCCACCACAAGCAAGAATCAAACAGTCAACCATTTTAAAAAGAAAGAGAAAAAGAGACTGGTTCATTGACCTCCTGTTTGGTGAAGCATGGCGTCAATCTCGTCCCCATCCTCCATTTCCAGCTGCAAACAAACACAGCATGTGACAAATGAGATTTTGCATATGCACCCTATGGTCGGAGCGGAAAACGACGATCAGGGAAAAGCGTACTTCGGAAGGAGTCTGGTCAGGTCGTAATCGTCTGCCGTCGAAAAGAAATGCGATGGCGTTCATGTCAATCGACTGACGGTCACAATATGTCTGCATCAACTTCTTGAACGTAGAAGTGGACCTGATCTTGAAAAATACCTCGTTTCCGTCCTGCAGACCCCAAGGGCATCCGTCAAACCAGGATCAACGGAAAGGAGAAAGGGACAGCGAACGGTATGATGCTCTACGGACCTGGCTCTTGACTTTGAGATTAATGTGCTGTCCCTCGCTCTTCGGCTTCTCGTCAGGGCCGTGGTTACCTTGACCTTCCATTGAAATGAGCTGAGACGTGTAGTTGAAACCAGAAACACGGAAGCACCTGCAATAACTGTTGATCTGATGAACGTCCAGAAGTCAGGCTAATAAAACGTCGTGGAGGAGGAATTTGAGTTAGGGCTTGGAGGAGATTATCAGGTCCTGCTAGGAAATTCAAGCATTCAAAACATACGCGACACAATGCGGAAGATTTTGCTGGATATAACGAGCGCAAATGGTTTTCCTTTCTGGAAGCTGTTTTCGGTTATCTATCTCAACCATGGGAATTATTACGTACTGCACATTTCCCGGGCTGCTTGGGGGGATCGCCGCCGCACAGCAGGAGCCAAATCAGCAGTCGCTTACGTGACGTCATATGTGACCACGTGTGGGACAAGATTGCAGCAAATGACAGTTCTATTGCCGTGTTGGCGTCAATTTTGTCGGTCGTTTGCTTTCGCCGTTCTCCCGCTGGACCACATTCGAGTCATATTGCGGTTCAGTGAGATTCTTTTTCTTCTAAAATTCTTTAAAGGATGTTTAAAAGGGTTAAGTCGGGTATCCAGAGAACAACATGAAAGTTGAGCAATCTTCGATCCCCCTGTGCCTCGGGAGTTTCCTGTTTTATGGTAAACAGACTCCATTTCCTGAACGAGCTTAGGCTTTTTCTTATAGCAACCTTAGCTCGAACCGCAACCATCATTTAGCAGCTCGCAGATCCGCGGATCTCGCGACTGTTCTGGACCAGTCATTTCTGCTCGCAGAAACGGGAGTGCCGCCCTTTTCATGCTCGCTGTTACTGGCTAGTTCCCTTATTAATCGTACACCATGAGAGGTCTCGGGTCGGTGTCGAGGTTGCTAGCAAGGCAAGCAGCTCGAGGGTCCTGGAGATCCGGCAAGGAAGTGCGTCTGGTTTCTCCTTCCTAGATTAGTGATTTCGCTCTTGTTTGTTCATTCGCAAGTGCAATGCAATGGAGAAGCGGTGTCTATCAATAGGTGGTCGTTGCTCTTTCCTCAATAAATCCTTAAATATTCATCTGACGCCGTCCATGCTTGTCTATATACTAATTACAGAAATGTGATCGGGTGTTGTTGTCACAGCTAAGTGTCGCCGTGACCCGGAGTGAAGCCGTCGCCATCCTGACCAGCCGACGTGGACTCACCACGCTTGGAGGTGAGACGTCACCACGTGTATCTGTGAGCTGTAATAGTTCATTCCGTATGAACCATCCCGCCTGGTATTTCATCTTACGTACAGCCATTCTGGGTGGTGATGCATTCAGTCATCTCATTCTCCTGTTGTTTTCTGCTTTGCAGGATGTTCGAAAGGCCCGTTCGCTTACAACAGCAACAGGTATGCAGAGGGGTCATGGGGACCGCACGTTATCTTTGTGGTCTGTGCAATTATGTCCGCCGTTATCCTTTGCTGCGTTAAGCTTCTAACTGATACGGATCTTATATTTCATTCTCCTTTCAGAGCCGCCATGGCAATGGCTGAGTGCGTGGCGTGGCGTACTCTGGACCGTGTACGCTTCATGGCTGCCGACGCAGGTGCTGACGTGGTGCAGAGAGAACGGGGTGCTAATGAGAGTGTAGCGTATGGGGCCAGGTTTGGGAGCATGGGTGTATGAGTACATGGTTGCATAGTTGCATGGGTGATGGATGCATATAGTTAGCTTGTGAAGCACACAACCATTACTTGAGAATGGTACTGCAGCACATGACATGGCCACTGGTTATGTGATGTATCATACGGGATGCTGATTGGTCTGCCTTTTTCTGCCATGGTGCCGTTTCACCGCCGCCTGCAGGGTTGCCTTCAGCAGTACTGGTGCCAACAATGGGCGAGTCAATAAAAGACGGTTCCATATCTGCCGTTCTCAAAGGTACTTGGATCCAACCAAACCACCCTGTCGTAACAAGTTCCAAACACTCAGGGCGGGAGGACGAGCGAGCACGTCTTAGGTACTTCGTGAACCACAAGAGCAGTCTACAGGAGGCCCATTTTTCTGGCCAGATCAGCAGTCCTGTTTCGAGCTCCTCGCATTCTCTCACCTCTGTGCGCTTGTTGCTTGCTGAAACTGCGTTGCATGTTTTCGTTGAGTGGTGTTGGCTTGCGTGATTCTGGTAATGGTCTTCTTTTGCGTGATTGGTGTTGCTTGTGTGCATCGTCTGGTGTGTTTGTCCTCTTCCACTGGCTGGGGCTACTCTGCATGGCACTGGCTGGCGTTTCTCCGCATGGAATCTGTTCTCATTGACTGGTGTTTATTCTCTTGCATGCACTGGTTGGTGGCATGTGAGCAGCGGCGGGCGAGGCAGTGGAGGAGGACGAGGTTATAGCGCAGATTGAGACGGACAAGGTCACCATTGACGTGCGCAGCCCCAGAGCAGGAATCCTGCAGAAGGTGCATGCTGCTGCTCCTCCTCCTCCTGTTACACGTTTGAGGCTTTTCAAATGGTGTGCTGCTGCCCCTCCGCCAAACCATCTGAGAATTCTCCGAGCTGTCCTGCTCTGACACTTCCTACATCTTTCGCGCATTTTTTTTACCCTCCAACGTCCTTTGTGCATCTCCGTTTCATCTTTTCCGATCTCATCTGTGTCCGTCCATCTAATTCCATTTCTGGCCGTCCATCTGCCCATGCAGATAGACGTGAAGGTGGGAGACACAGTCACCCCTGGCACCACCGTCGCCTTCGTCTCCCCTTCCTCTGCAGCACCACCAGCCAAGCATGCAGCAGCAGCAGGAGTGCAGGCGCCGACAGCAGCGGAGGAGGCGGTGGGGCCGATAGGAGATGAGGAGATGGAGGGCGAGGGCGTGGATGAGTACAGCTTGGTGCATGGGGATGACACGGTGGAGGTGGTGGTGCCGTCCATGGGGGAGTCTGTCAACGACGGTGTGCTGGCTGCCCTGCTCAAGAGTGAGTCGAGTCGGGATGATGATGCTCGCTCGTGATATTCCAAAAGAGACAACGGATAGCAGGTGAGGGGGGGGCCGCGGGGGAGGGCGAGGGCGTGGATGAGTACAGCGTGGTGCATGGGGATGACTCGGTGGAGGTGGTGGTGCCGTCCATGGGGGAATGGGTTAACGACGGCGTGCTGGCTGCCCTGCTTAAGAGTGAGTGCGAAAGATGATGATTGGTCGATCACTCTGCGGCACTCACCGCCTCTTTCTTTCTCCCTTGAAGACTCCCAATGGTGTTGTTTGCATTCTGGTTGTCTCCTGTATCCCTTATGCGTTTGGCCTGTGGTTATGCTGCTGTGCCCCTCGCCCGTTCTACCTCTACCCGTGCATCTAGCTCATTCTGCCTGTACTTGTGCTCCATGGTGTGTGTGCAGGTGTGGGCGACAGTGTGCGCATGGACGAAGTGATTGGGCAGGTGGAGACAGACAAGGTGAGAAAGAGAGGGGTGGAGGGCGGTGGTAGGTGTTGGAGGGCGGTGAGGGGGGGTGGAGGGAGACTGTGCCTGTGCCCCGTGTTCCTTGTGGCATGATGTGAGCGCAGGTGTGGGCGAGAGACAGTGTGCGCATGGATGAAGTGATCGGGCAGGTGGAGACAGACAAGGTGAGAGGGGGGTGCAGAGAGATGGCAGGACATGTATGCAAGGGCGTGGTGGAGGCAGTGAACGTGCAGCTGGGCGAGCGACACAGTCACTTCTGCCACGAATGAATGTATAACTGCATGATCCGAAAGAGCGCGTCCGCTATTTACCCCCACCACCACAGAGGCATGTTTCGAAGCACCTGTTCACCCTTTGCTCCTTTTCCCCAATCTCTCCCACTGACAGGTGACGATAGATGTGTGCAGTCGTGGTGGAGGCAGTGAGCGTGCAGCTGAGCGACACAGTCACGCCCAGTGCCGTCGTGCGCCGCGCCAAGGCCCTCCCCGCCCCACCTCCACCACTTCCTACACGAGTCAAGGCATATCTCTATGATCCTAGGGATCACGTCCCCTCTTCACCCCCACCACCACAGAGGCATGTTACACGGTATTCAACCCCCCTCTTCGGCCCCCCGCCCCCCCCTTCCCGCCCCCCTCTCTCATACAGGTGACGATAGACGTGCGCAGTCCAGACGAGGGAGTGGTGGAGGCAGTGAGCGTGCAGCTGGGCGACACTGTCACGCCAGGCACGCCCATTGCTGTCGTGCGCCGCGCCAAGGCCCTCCCCGTCTCCACCACGCTCGCCGACCGCGTCGTTGAGGCTGTGGAGGGGCCCCGCCCTGTGCCTGTTGCTCGTGCTGTTCCCTCGCCTCCTCCCCCTCCCTCTCCGCCAGCCTCTCGGCCAGCTGCTGCTGCTGCTGCTGCTGGTGCTGGTGCTGCTGCTGCCGGGGGTCCTGCCCTGCCGATCATTCCCAGGCAGAAGGAGCGACGGGTAGGTTCTCTCGTGTCTAAAGCTGCTGGCTTTTAGCCGTACAATTCCTTGCGTCACTGGCTTTATCTCGTCAACTGCGTTTCTCTCAATCCCCTTTCCTAAGTCCTGGTTTTCAGTCCCTCATTTCTTGCGCCCTTACGCTCTGCTCGCACATATTGGGGCCGTCATGCCGCCTCAAACCCGCGAAGTGGCCATGACTGGGCTGCGGCGGCGCGTGGCTCAGCCCGTCAAGGAATCACTGAACACCTCTTTGAGATGTCTCCATCCAAACGCAGTCCATCTCGCTTTATCCTCCTCCCCTCTGTCCTCACATGTTGTTGCTGCCATGTGTGCTGTCCACGTCCCGACCCCCTGTTTTCTTCCAGGTGCCCATGACGCGGCTGAGGCGCCGTGTGGCGCAGCGACTCAAAGACTCACAGAACACGTTTGCCATGCTCACCACGTTCAATGAAATCGACATGTGAGTCCTGTCGTTGTGTGAGTGGTCGCAGATTATGCTTACTTAGCATGTTATTATTTCCTCGCAGTTGGAGCGCCGCCGCCAGCTGCAAGACGCAGAGGGCACGCTGGAGGAGCAGGAGACAGCCATGGAGAGGCTGCAGCGCTTGCTGAAGGAGTCCTGCGGCGAGCGGCCGCAACAGGGGAAGCAGATTAAGCAGTTGGCTCTCTCGAGATCGAACGTCATCTGCTTAATCTGCTTCCCCTGTTGTAGCCGCTAGCGGCTGGACTCCTTTAGCAAACGCTGCAACCTCTCCATGGCTGTCTCTTGCTCCTCCAGCATGCCCTCTGTGTCAAGGACGCTTTTTCTGAGAAGCATGGCATCAAGCTGGACTCTGTGTTTCCCCTTTCCCCCCTGCATGCGAACCGCCATATCACATCGCCAATACCCCTCGCCGCCCCCTCCCCACTTCTACTGCCCTCACTGCCCCCTTCCCCACCAGGACAAACCTTATCGCCCTGCGCAACGACTTCAAGGACGCCTTCTATGAAAAGCACGGCATCAAGCTCGGCTTCATGTCCGCGTTTGTCAAGGTAAAGCTTGGTTGCTGTTACACCACGAGATCACTGTTTAGCCGCCTTAACGGTCGCTTTGTGAAGGCAGAGAGCTCGTCCTTATGCTATGTGCTCTTGATTCATTCATGCTGTGGCACTACCTTGCTGCCATTGCGCTGTGTTGCTCCCATCTTCCGGACATGAGAGCATGTGCATGTCTTTCATCCGCAGTGCCAGTCGGTTGGAAATGCAAACCTTATGGGGGTGTGTGCTGAATGTGAATGCGACCGCTTGTGTGTGTCCATGCATGGCAGGCGGCATCCAATGGGCTGCAGCAGGGGCCAGTGGTGAATGCGAGAATCCTATTTCTTTTAGCCTCGCATCTTGTGATCGTGTCCTCTGCATCTCCCCGTGCATGGGAGGAGGCATCGATAGCTTCGCAGGAGGAGGCAGTGTTTAATGAGTCCACATTATAGGCGTCTCAAGAGTCATAGACAAGCCCTGTGTGCATTTGTGTATCTGTGTGTGTTTTGTCCTGGCATGCCAGGCGGCGTCCAGTGCGCTGCAGCAGGAGCCAGCAGTGAATGCGGTGATCGATGGGGACGACATTGTGTATCGTGACTACATCGACGTCAGCATTGCTGTCGGCACTCCCAAGGTGCGCTGCCTACCACGGTGACATGCTGTGTCACCACTTTGTCTGTCTTTTAAATGAGAAACTCGTATTGATTTCATGGGCTTTGCAATGCTTGTCTCACCATCGTCCTGTTGTCGCTTGTCCACACTCTTGCTCCACACTCTCGCTCCACACTCTCGCTCCACACTCTTGCTCCACACTCTCGCTCCACACTCTCGCTCCACACTCTCGCTCCACACTCTCGCTCCACAGTTTCCTGCCAGCCCAGTGGTGTGGGTGATCTGCAGGGTGCAGGAGATAAGCTTTGCAATCGTGAAAGGGAGGGCGTTTATCTCATCCTCCTGCGTTCTCCCCCGTGCCTGTCCTCCCTCCCCACCCCAAACCCCTCAGGGCCTGGTGGTCCCAGTGATCCGCAAGGTGCACGTGGAGCGCACCGTGGCGGAGCTGGGCAGCATGTGGATGAGAACACACGGCCGAGCATCGTATCCCCTCCTTCTGCCCACTGTCTTCCCCCACGTGTTCCCCACCCCTTCTCCCATTATCCTCCCAGGGCCTCATAGTCCCTGTTATTCGCAAGGTGCACGAGATGAGATTTGTGGACGTGGAGCGCACTGTAGCAGAGCTGGACAAGAAGGCAATCAGTGCTCCACTCCTTTCTCTCCCCCTTTACTCCCCTGTGACCCCATCTATTGCCCCCGTTTTGCAGGGTCTGGTGGTCCCTGTTATTCGCAAGGTGCATGAGATGAGCTTTGTGGATGTGGAGCGCACTGTAGCAGAGCTGGGCAAGAAGGCGCGGGACGGCACCATCTCAATTGATGACATGGCGGGCGGCACCTTCACCATCTCCAATGGTGGCGTGTATGGGAGCCTCATCAGCACGCCTATCATCAACCCACCTCAAGTGAGTTTTTGAGATGCTTCAAATGAGTCCGGAAAAGCACCAACACCCATGTGAGGGCTGAGATGTCTCAACTCACCTTCCTTCACCATCTTTAATGAGGGTATGTGTGGCAGTCTCATCAGCGCGCCCATCATCAACCCACCTCAGGTGTGTGCTGGGATGCTCCAGGTGTATGTGGAGACGTCTCATGTGCATCTGGGCCCACATGTATGTGGAGACGTCTCATGTGCATCTGGGCCCACATGTATGTGGCGCTCATGTGCCACCCCCACCCCTCATGCCGCCATCTTCACCATCACTCCCTCCCGCGTCCTTCCCCTCCGCTCATATCCTCGTGCAGTCGGCCATCCTGGGCATGCACGCCGCTCAGCAGTGCCCAGTGGTGGATGGCGGGCCATCTAGGGGCATGTGGCGCTCCTGTACCACCACCGCCGCTCAAGCCTGCATCTTCACCATCGCTCCCTTTTCCTCCCTGCCCCATATCCCCCTGCCACCAGTCGGCCATCCTGGGCATGCATGCCATTCAGCAGCGCCCGGTGGTGGTGGGCAAGGACATTGTGGCGCGGCCCATGATGTACGTGGCGCTCACATACGACCACCGCCTCATCGACGGCAGAGAGGCTGTGCTCTTCCTGCGCCGCATCAAGGATATTGTGGAGGACCCCCGGCGCATCCTCTTGGATATCTAAGGGTGGTACCGGTGTGGGAGAGAGGGGTATTGCTGTGCCTTTTCGACAGCAGAGAGGCCGAACTCTTCCTGCGCCGCATCAAGGATATTGTGGAGGACCCACGTCTCATTCTTCTGGACATGTGAGGTGCTGTGGCAGTGCCGCTGTGTGCATGCGTTCATGGAAAAGCAGCTGGTTTCACCGGCTCATGGATGGCAGGGAGAGAGCCTGTGCCCTTCCTGCGCTGCATCAAGGAACACACCATCCGCATCTACATCATATCGCCTAAAATCATTCCATCCCATCCCACCATCATGCCCTACAAACGCATCAAGACCATCCAATCCAACAACCCACCACACCAATTCTGAGACTTCCTAGAGCTGTGCGCATGCCAGCATGTCAGCATCATCAGCATCATCAGCATGATCTGCATCATCAGCATCATTAGCATGCCTTTTCCATCCATTTGCAAGCACCATCATCTCTGTCTCACCCATTTGCCAAGTCAATTCGTTCTCAGTTGCCTGACATTACCGTAAGTTACATCCATGTCTCACATCTGTGCAGTAGGATTGTGTAGAATCAATGAGAGAATCAGGGTGTGTTCCTTCAGCCTCATATCAGGCAACCCATATCAGATTCGTGTTGAACCACACTAAAACGCATCCAACCGCAGTCGAACACACTGGAATGTATTTCACCACGCGAAGCTGATATTAGGTGTTTCTGATACAAGGTGTAGGAACACGCTCAGTGGATCACGTAGAAAGACCTCCACATTTTTTACGATTTTTGCTTACCAATTTCACAACTCCATACAGGGGCTACAAAAACTGACGGATTTGCTCCAACATCAGACAAACAACAATCGCTTGTTCACTTCATAAGGCCATGCTGTTGCCTGCATGCATCCCACAGGGTTTGATTGAGCAAAAACGCTCTTATTTGGGCTGCATCTTACAGCAATGGTGTGTGAAACAGGGCACTGCAATCCATCTAGGCACACAGCTGCTGTCCCACCTTCTCTGCTGTGCTCTTATTGCCACCCCAGCTGCCATGGATGTCCCCCAACATTGCCTGACTTCCCTGCTCTGCATACACTGCTCACTGGTACTGCCCCACTCTCACTGGTCACTACTAACTACTCATTGATCAGTACCCACTGCTTCCTGCTCACTGCACCCTGCTCACTGCTCCCTGCTCACTGCTCACTGCTCACTGCTCACTGCTCACTGCTCACTGCCTTGCTCCACCAGCAGCAACACGCCCCCACCCACCCATGAGGGCACAGCTCCTTCCAGGCGACGCGCACTGTTCACGTCCACGAGGACTCCTGTACGCCACCAGGTGGTGAGCTGGCGGCACCACAGCCACACAATTCACGTTCATCTTGATCGTCCATCTTTCTCCTGCGTTTCCTTGATCTCCCTGCTTCCACCCTTCTGCACCCACCATCCCACTCTCCCCCTCCCTTGTTCTATCTTCCGCTTCCTCCCAAGCCGCACCACCTGCGCCCTGCTCGTCCTGTAACCCGTACCCCACGTCGATGGTCAGCGCCACGTGGCAGCCGCTCTTGGTTCCACGTGTCTTCCGCGTGGTTCCGTGCCGCGGTCGGGACCAATCTTCATCCGCCATACAATCCCCCTCGACAAACCACGCGTCATCCAGAATTTCAGCCGCGCTCGGCCGTTCCTCCGGAACCACTGCCATTAAGCGCGTAATCAGAGCCTTTGCGCGCGCTGACACCCCCGCCCAGCTCTCCGCGCGCCAGTCCACCGCGCGCTCCAGCCGCCTGTCCGCGTCGCCCTCCAGGAATCCCGGCCACGACCCCGTGAGCATGGCGAATAGCAGCACGCCGAGGCTCCACACGTCAGCGGAACCGTCGTACGGCGCGCGCGACACCACCTCGGGCGCCTCGTAGGGGAAGCTGCCCGCGTAGCCCACCACCTGCTGGTCCGCGCGCAGCGGAATCGCCAGCCCGAAATCCGCGAGTTTGGGGGCGAATTCCGCGGAGACGGCGTTGCGCGAGCGGGGATCGCGCCGGGGCTTGGCCTTAGAGGGGGCGACGGGGCAGAGGAGAATGTTTTCGGGCTTTATGTCACGGTGGATTATACCGCGGATGTGGCATTCCCCGACCGCGCGAACCACGGATGCGAACACCCGCCGCGCTTCGTGCTCAGGCAGCCGGCCTTTCCGCTCGATGTGCGATAGCAGGTCCCCTCCTGTACAAAGCTCTAGGATCAAATAGAGCGAGGCCGCGTCGCCGAAGACCGATTCAAGTGAAACTGCGTGCTTCGCGCCGCGCATGCGATGAAGGACGTCGATCTCTCGAAGCGCGACTTTCAGGGCGCGGCTATCGAGAGCGCGGAAGGCGATCTGCTTGCACGCGAACTCGTGGCCCGTGCGGCGCTCCCTACATTTCCACACCACGCCGTACTTTCCCTTCCCTAGAACGTCGACGAATATATATTCAGCTAGTAGGTCGGCCGTCGGTCTGATCCCGCACAATGGGGATGGCTCAGTAATCAACTCTCCCGGCATCAGTGCCGCGTGTGCGTGATACTAGAGATTCTGGGCCCGAAGGCATACAGCTTCGTGAACTCAATCAGACATGAAGCTGTGCAGTTTTGCGACACTTCACACAAAATCAGTGCAATTGGTCTACCGGAGGAGCAACTGGAGCATGAAAGGTTTGTTGCTACTGAGAGCTCCTAGCAGGTCATATGTAATGGCGAGTGAGCTTGGATGCCTAGCAAGGTATGTGCTCACAAACTGGTAGGGGTTCCACATGGCGTGGCGGATTTTAGAACGGTTTACTGAGTTCGCGAAAACCGTGAGGTCATTCTTGTCATGTTGTTCCATTTGAGTTCACGCGACTCGTCCTTGCAAGCTGGAGCAAGGACGTCCCGCTTCCCCAGAAAGTGTGAGAGTGTCGCGCGCCTGCCAGAGAGAGTGGAATATAGATTGCACTGCCTGCGTAAGCAGGCAGTGCAATCGAGTCAGCGCGGGCAAGAAAAAAAATAAACCCCAGCCGGGGGCATGCCATCCGAGGGAGCCTCAACCCTAAAATTTTAGGGTTGAGGCTCCCGAATGGCATGCCGTAAGCCATGGGTTTATTTTTTTTGCCCGCGGGCAGCGTGCTGACTCGGTCGGTAGCGCTACCGGGCGCTACCGACCGCTACCGGCTCTCGAAAGTGAAATATATTGGTGTGTGGTGGTTACTGTAGTGCTGCCATCCTGGCATTCAGGTGATTGCGCCAGGCTAGATTTTGTTGTCGACCAGCTTGACCACCCTGTGCTGTTCGAGGGTGGCGGGGAGTGCGAGAGTGGAAATCCCCGCCACAGACCTAACGTTTCCCGTCTCGATCTGTTAAAATGAGATTTCTACTTGTTATGACTTGTACTAAGATTGCGCGGAAGAATACTATAAAGCGGAAGTGATTACAGAATGACGAAACAATGAAGAAAACGAGCAAATATAGGGCGGAAACTAGCTAGGCGAGGGCCTCGTGACGTGCGAGGCTTTGATGTGTCACGATTGGTGCGGGGCGATTTGAAATAGGTTCGGTGCGAAAGTTTAGGCCGAGCCACACTGACGCGAACTGCTCGGGGCTGTCCTCGCTAAGGACAGTTCTACAGAAATGATTACGTATTCATCACACTACTACATCAATGGTTACGGCAGGTAACCTAGCTACATTCGGTAGGCTCAATAGGTGCGGTTGGGTGTGGCTTGATGCGATTAAACCCGATGCGATTTGAGTCTCGCTGGAGGTGGGGGAAAAGTCTACACCAACATATGAATGGTTTGCCGAATGTTGAATTCTTTTGCTTGTAGTTCACTGACAGAAAGGGCAAGAAGTTTGGTTGACAGTCCCGCCACTACCTCGCACTGCGGTTGCGGAAGTGAACAGAACACGCGGTACGAACCTGCCCGAGTTGGTGTTGCGGTGCCGCGCGAGCAGCCTGGTCAGTCTAAACAACTTTCTGATTGTAATTTTCTTAGTATGTAATGTGGTGTTCGGTAAACTGTATTCCCAGGGTTCTGCGTCATGGTGTGCCAGTCTGTCAATTCCCTCCTTTCTGAAGTTCCTGACCCCCATTATAGAATCCCCCTCATACAGTCCCATTGCTTAGGTGGAACGTCGACTGTGATTGGCTAGACCTAGCAAGTAGGCTGTGTTGAGTGGAAACTCTAGCCCCGATTTTGCCCCAAACGAGCCGCGCCACGCTGGTGGTGGTGCCCCTAGCTTCCGTTTTGCGCAACAGTGGTTGCGGGCAAGAAACCGCCGTTAAAAACCGCAAGCGGGCAAGCAAACCTACCACATGGAAATACGATCCCCTGAACATCTGAAGGAACAGCGGAATTCGACCTGGGTTTCATACCTGTTCTGCAATCGGGCAGGACTTTTCCAAGTCCGCCGCTTTGGGTTGCGAGGCAGGTGCACGCAACGCAGCACCGCGTGGTCGGCGCGGCGCAGGTTCCCCAATCCGCGTCTCCCCGCTTCGACGTGTGTCTGTCTGCCCCTCCCCGTGACTTCACTCGCCCTCCGCCTGTGCGGTGGCGTGGCGAGGGGAGGAAGCAAAGCTGGCGCTCCTTCCAACTCACCTTCTCCTCCCCCTTCTCGCGTCACACACAACTCTCTGGGGTCCAACGATGCTCCTTTCTCTCCTCGTGACGTGAGTGGCCTGCCTTGGTTCCGCCGTTGAACAAGACACTAGTAAAATTACAGTGACAAGCATGTCGAGCTCAAGCTAAACCTATTTTTTATATTAGGCGGGAGCTGGGAGGTACTATTCAGGTAGGCAAGGATGACGATGTTCGCTCGTCAAGATGAGGGTAACCAGCTGTTGATGTCGTGGCCGCAGCCCGTTCCATCCTTCACGCCATCGCTCAATCCGTTCGTCAATCACCCGTTCACAAGCAAGGTCACAGCCGCACAATTGTCCAGCACCGCCTCGCGATGTTTAAGTTTATCGGGACCGTTGTCCAGTCCCCACGGCACGTACGCCATGGGCAAGGAAATAGGCCGCGGCAGCTATGGCGTCGTCGTCGAGTGCACGCACCGCCAGACCGGCCAGCGCTTCGCGTGCAAGATCGTCAGCAAGGCGCGCCTCAAGAGCGTGCTCGAGCGCCAGGTGCTCACGCAGGAGATTGCGCTCATGCGCGCGCTTGCGGGCCATCCCGGTATAGTGCGGTTGGAAGGGGTGTACGAGGACGCGTCCGACGTGTTCATGGTTATGGAATACTGCAACGGCGGGGAGCTTTACCAGAAGATTTTCCATGAAGGGAAGATGCCCGAGCCGCTGGCAGCGCGGGTGTTCCGCCAGTTATCCGACGCGGTGCGGTACTGCCACGCGCGCGGTGTCATGCACCGCGATTTAAAGCCCGAGAACGTCCTGCTGCACTATCCGAACCGCCCTGACGGCGCGACAGCCGGCGCGGGGCTCAATATGCGCAGCGAGGCAATGGCGGCGATTCAGGTGAAACTTGCTGATTTCGGGTTGGGCCTCGTGCTGCCGCCGGGCGTGTTTGCGACGGTGTGCGTGGGCAGCCTTATGTACGAGGCGCCCGAGGTGGTACTGGGCGACCGTTATAATCACAAGGCCGACGTGTGGAGTCTTGGAGTGATTCTTTACGTGCTTCTATCGGGCGGGCTGCCGTTCATGGACAAGGACGACCGTCGATTGGCGCGGAAGATCTGCGAGGGGCGGTACGAGATGAGGTTTAGCCCGTGGCCTTTCGTTTCCGACGACGCGAAATCGCTCGTGCGACGTCTGCTGGTCGTCGATCCTAATCGCCGCAGCAGCGTCGAGGAATTCATCAATCATCCATGGCTCGTCGCTCATTGCGGGCCCGCCGCGCCGATTGTTCTCGACGGCTCTGAGGTTCCGCTACCCCGCACGCCCTCCGCGCTCTGGCGCGCGGACGCGGGGTCGGTTTCCGCCGCTATCCGCGCCGCCCTTCCGAACGCCAGCGCCGCTGCCGCGGCTGCTGCGGCGGCGGCGTCGTCTGCGGCGTCATCGGCGGCGGCTGCTGCCGCGGCGGCGGCGTCGCAACTGAAGAGCGACGTGTGGGCGCCCATGGGCCGGCTCCCGGCCGTCAATCTCAGCCGAGGCGCGTGGGGAGTCGGCAGCAACACCGGCAACAGCAGCGAGAGCGGGTCGTCGTCCGTACCGTCCGATGCACCGTCCTCAAGCGTCATAGCGGCAGTTGCGGCGGCAGTGGCTCGGAGAAACGGAGCCGCGGACGACTCGAGCGCTGAGGCGGCCGAAGCAGCTCCGGCTGCTCCCGCCGCCGACGACGCTTCGCCGGGTCGCATCCTCATGACGTCACTATCGGAGCCAGTCACCGAGCCGCCCTCGTCGCCCTCGTCGTCGTACGCTTCCGCGCGTTCCAACTCGTGGGTCGAGCCGCCAACCGCCGCAGCAGACGGCGCGATGGACGATGGGCTCGACCTGCCGCCTGCCGGGCCGCGCCGCCGCATGTGGCGGCTGTGGCGCATGCGGTGGATGAAGCGCGGGTGGCGACTCGGCCTGATGACGGGCTTGCGTGGCGCTGAGAAGTTAGACGCGGGGGGAGAGGGAGCGGCTGCGCGGCTTCCGCGGACGCGGGCGAATGTGTTCGGCGCGTGCTTCGGGTGCTTCTTTGCGCAGCGGTCGGACTTCGAGACGAGCGCGGACAGGCTATGGGAGGTTGAGGACGAGGCGGGGCGGCCCGTGACTGCAGCGGGGGACGCTGCTGGCGCTGTGACGAACGGGCGTGATAATAACGGGGGAGGGGCGGTGGAAGCGGGGGAGGTGGGCGGGCAGCGGAGGGCGGGAGAGGGCGCGGAGAGGGGGGCAGTCAAGCGGGCGGGGAAGGCCCCCAAGGCGTATCAGAGGCTGGCAACGACTGAGGAGGCGGGGGAAGCAGGGGAGTGGGGAGGCGCGGATGGGGAAGGTGGAGAGGAGGCGGGGGGAGTGCAGGTGCGGTGCAGAGGGGGGCGGATGGGGGAGCGGAGCAAGTGGGCGGCGCTGAGGGCGACAGAAACATGATTGATGTAGTAAGGGGGGGGGGGAAGGCGCATGGGAGCGAGGTGGAGCTTTGGGCAGGGCTCAAAAGAAAGCATGAGGAAGTAGTGTGGGTGGGAATAGGGAGCAGCTGAGAAGGGAAAAGCAGTAGGCAGGGGATGCATGGTGCTGTGGGGATTGCATGGGGATGTTGGGATGGCGTAGATCTCTAGGTTAGGTTAGGATGCTCGTGGATGTGATTGGAGCATGGATGTGATTGGAGCATGGATGTGATTGGAGCATGGATGTGATTGGAGCATGGATGTGCAACACAAGGTTGCATGCCGTGCTGGTGTAAGGAGCATCAGGCTGGTAGGGGTGTTTAACTTCTAGGTGGTGCCAGCTGGATTTCATTATTAGTGCCTTTCGGAAGCAGCAGTGGTGTATCGATTGAGATGTTGAGCTAATGTAACAAACAATGTCCAGCTAGAATGGGGTAGTGTAATGAAGGACGGGTGTAGCTTCCTCATGTGCTGCCAAGCCAGGTCGTAACAGAAAGGCCTGCACTAGTTGCACAGCCATGGTAATACCCAACCTAACAGCTCCGCACCATGTTACACAAAAACGATGAAGATTATGGCAATTCACTAGGGTTCAGGTCAGGGTGCTGCAAGCCAATACAGGGGGCACCAAGTTCAATTTGGAAGCTAACATGTTCACACTCATGTGACTAGCATGCAAAACACTAAATAAAACATGGCTCTCAAGTTACCGGTAATGTTGGCCCTAACTCCAAGCCTGAAGGTTGCATTCCCTAAGTAGGAAGTTAGCAGGCAAGAGCTCCTAGTACAGCAACCACAACACAAATCAGCTTCACCCTCCCTCCCTCCTCTCTCCCAGCATCACCGAGAGGCCAGCCACGTGCCTCCAGGTGCCAATCCCACCATGCCAGCGCCATGCCCAAAATCCCCATCCTGCTGCTGCTGCTGCTGCTGTTGCTGCTGCAGCAGCAGCTGCCTCTGCTTGATAATCGCCCTTGCTTCCGCCAGCGCTCCTCCCTTGGCCCTGGCATTCCCAACACCCCCCTCACCCCACTTGGGCACAGGCGGCCGGAAGGGAGGGGCAGAACCAGACCCACTGCAGTAACCTGAGGAGCTGCTGGTGTAGCCTGAAGCATTCGCTGCAGCAGGAGCGCCCACACTCGCAGACGCTGCTGCCGCTGCAGCTGCCACGCTGGCAGACGCCCGTGGCCCTGCTGACGTGGCGCCAGCAGCGCGGAGGCTCGCCACGTGCGCCGACGCTGACCCGGCAGATGATGACGAGGATGAGACGTTGCTGCTGAACGGGTTGCGGACGGGGGTGACCGGGACAGAAGCGGACTTGCCACCAGCAGTGGTGGTAACCCCATTACCAGCACCAGAGTCGGGCTGTGCAGTGGAGAGAGCAGCAAAGGCCCGCACTATCGACCCTAGCCCCCTAGCTTTACGAGCCCCATGGTTCTGACCCTGACTGCTGCTCTGAATGTGGCTCTGGCTGTGGCTATGGCTGCTGCTGTGGGTGCGCTGCTCCCCATTGCTCCTCACACCATCTCCCCCCTCTGCTGATGTCACCATGTGCACCGCTGCACCTCCTTCCTCCCCCTTCTCTTCCACATCCATGTGACTCTTATGGACCCCATGCCTCTCCACCTTCTCCCGCCTCTCTTGCTTTTCGCTCCTCTCCTTTCTCTCCTTTCTCTCCTGCCTGCCTGCCTCTACCTGCCCGTCCTGCCCGCCCTGCCCGGCCATCTGCCCGGCCATCTGCCCGGCTATCTGCCCACCCTGCCCCGCGATCTGCCCGCCACTGCCGCCCACCGGCACGCGCACCATGGCTCTCATCTTTAGCACTGACGTCAGCGCTGGCGTCAGCGTCTCCGCGTGGTAAGGGCTGCTGCCGCCGCTGCCCGCGTTGCTGCTGCCGCTCACGCTGCCCGCGCTGCTCATAAACGGGGACCACCCCTCCGTCACGCTGCTAGCAACGCTACTCGCGGAAGGGGATTTGCAGCTCAGATACGCGCTCTCCTCTCCCCCGCTTGCGCTTCCGCCTGCGCCCTCGCCGGTTCCCGCCCCCCGCTGCGCGGAGTCCCGCCGGCGAAGGGGCTTTTCCTTTTCCGCCTCGCAGGCTCCGCGTATGGGGAGCACCAGCGGCGGAACGAGCTTCCCCCCCGCGCGCGGGTTGCGCGGAGAGGACAGGCGCGGGGACTGCCGCGGGTCGACGAGCGACGAAGGGGAGGGCTTGGGCGACTGGCGCGAGTCAAGAGGGATCGTCCTGGGCGACTCGGGCGGCTGCGACGGGCGCGTGGCGGGCGACCGGACCTTCTTCTTCGGCTCGCGCGGCTCGCGCGGCTCCCGCTGCTCGCGTTGCTCGTGCTGCTCCCGGTGCTCCGCGCCTGGCTGTTCCGCGGGGATTTTGATCGACACGCCTGCACGGCTGCCGCCCTTGTCCGCGCTGCTACCGTCCGCCGCCAAGCCCGCCGCAATTGCCGGCGACTTGCGCGCCGGGTTCGACGCGAGGAACTGGCTCGACGCTCTCCGCGCGTCCGTGCCCGCCGGCAGCCCGCCGCTTGCGGCGCCGGCCTGCCCGGCCAGCGAGTCCTCCGGCTTGGCGGCGCGAATCGCCTCCATCCACGCGGGTTTCGCGAAGCCGCGCTTCTGCGGGGCGGAGGAGGCGGCGGAGGAAGGCGCGGAGTCGTCCGCGGAGGCGGCGGGCGCGCGGCGGGGGGAGGAGGGGCGCGGGCGGAGGTACGAGAGGAGCTCAGGCACTGGGAGGGAGCCGTCGGGTTGGGATAGCCGAGCCTGCAGCTCAGGCAAGGGAGGCGGCTGCTTGGTTGGGTCGAGAGGTGGCTCGGTCCTGAGGCAGGGAATCTCGACCGTTGTCACTTCCGAAGCTGACGTGGCAGACGCTTGAGTGCGCAGCGGGATGGTGATGACTGACGGCTTGGCGGTGCGAGACCGCGGCGTGGAAGAGGAGGAAGACGATTGGCGGCGGAAAACCGGGACTGAGCACGAGGGCGCTGCGTCCATGATCGACGACGAGGAGCGACTCGAGTCGCCGCCTCGTGTGGCGGAGGAGGCGGAGGGCGAGTCGAGGGGAAGGTACGTGGGGGTGCCGGGGATGGACATCGGGGTCGAGTCGCCCGAGGGCGCGTCGGCGACGGTGACGTGAGTTGCGGCGCGCGACTTGCGCTTGGGGGAGAAGAAGCGGAAGTGGGACGCGCGCGGTCGAGTCGCCGGCGCCGTGGGCGTGGCGGCCTGCGACCTGGCGGGCGTCTGCGACGGCGACGGCGACGGCGCGGAGCCCGCGGCAGGCGGAACCTGGATTGGCGGCAGTGCGTGCGCCTGCGACGACCCCTGCGACGGCTGCTGCGACGACATCGGTTCGTCGACATCCATGGCGCGCGGGGCTGTTGCGGACTCGCGGTGGCGGGGCCGTCCGCGCACCTGCTGCTCCGCGGCAGACGGGCCTTTCGTCGACTTTCCCCGACCCTCGCGTTTCTCGCGCGGCTGACTCGACCGCCGCGTGCGCTGCAGCGGCTGCACCTCCTCCCCGCCTTGCGCTTGCGCTTGCACCGCTTCCACTTGCTGCGTTGGCCATTGCCGCTGGCCACCGGCGGGCGCTTGCCGCGGCTGCTTCATGGGCGCGGGCATGGCGGAAGAAGCGGAGGCGGCGGAAGAGGCGGAAGCGACTGGAGCAATAGGAACTGATTGGTCGGAATCAACGTCCATTGCCCTGCCCTGGTGCGCGGCTGACTGTCCCCCGGACTGCCCCGCTCCGCCCACGCGGATCTTGTTAAGGGTTGAGAGGGGCGCAATTACCGCCGCTTCCCCGCCCGCCTCCGTGCTACCCGCACGCGGCAGCTGCTGCGCCTTGCCCGCCTCCGGGTGCACCTTCGCCCCGTTCTCCCCCGCTGGCGCAGACTTGCGCGCAGCCGCGGGGGCCTTGGGCGTCATCCCGGGCATGGGCTCGGCCGAAAGAGAGGGCGCGGGGGAGGCGGCAGGGCCGCCGCAGTGCTGCACGATCCACGGGTGCTGCAGCGCGGCGAGCGCGGAGGGGCGGTGCGCGGGGTCGGAGTGGAGCAGCGAGCGGATGAAGTCGACCGCCTGCGGGGACACGCGCGGCCAGGGGTCCGCGCGGAAGTCGGGGGAGTTGCGGAGAATGCGCAGGAAGAGCTCCTCGTCCGTGCTGCCCCAAAACGGCATGTAGCCTGCGCGGGACGGGGGGAGGGCGTGGGAACGGGTGAACGGCGGACGACAATTGAGGGAATGGATATGAACAGTGGAACAGGGGGAGGGGGGGGAGAGAGAGGAGAGCAGGAAAGCGGGGAGGAGGGAGAGGGGAGCGCGGGCGGGCGAGGGGCGTACCGGCGAGGGCGAGGTAGACGATGACACCGAGACCCCAGAGGTCCACCGCGTGGCCGTACGGCCGGCGGCACACCACCTCGGGCGACATGTAGATGGCGCTGCCGTACATGCCCACGGCGCGCTGCCCCGGCCGCAGCAGCACGGCGAGCCCGAAGTCGGCGAGCTTGACGTGCACGCGGCCCGAGCCGTCGTCGGGCGCGACGAGGAGGATGTTTTCCGGCTTGATGTCGCGATGCATCACGCCCACCGCGTGGCAGTGCGCCAGCGCCAGCAGCACTTGCCTGCCGGAGCGCGTTCGGAAATAGACGCAATGGGAAAGACGGTTAGTGGCTTTTATTTTTTTATTATTATTATTCATTTTTAATTTTGGTCGTCTATGAAAGCACCCAGATGTTTCGGACTGGGAGCTCATGTTACGTAAGGCTGCTTTGGTTCTGAAACCCTAGGCGGCAAGGGTCCATCCAAGGTTCTGCGACGGGCGAACCTGCTACGTCTACGGCAAGGCATTTTAACCCTAATTGCGGCGGGCGTACCTGGCGATTTCGGCTGCGACGGGTTCTGCGACGGGCGAGCGTGCGATGAGGAAGTCGTAGAGGTCGCCGCCCTTGCAGAGGTCCATGACGAGGTGCACGGCGTGCGCGTCCTCGTACAGCCCGCGCAGCTCCACCACGTGCGCGTGCCCGCGCACGCGCCGGTTCGCGTGCACCTCGCGCTGCAGCTCCTCCAGCGCGTCGCGCCGCTGGAGCTTGCTCTTCGGCACGCTCTTGCACGCCGCGACCGGTATCCCCGTTTGAAGGTCGCTGCATACGGTTACTACGCCTGTGCCGCCCTGCCCCAGCTGCTTGCCGAGGTGAAAGCGGGTTCTGATGTCGGAGCGGCTCGCGTTTGGGAAAAGCCGCTCTGGCGCCGCCATCTCCGCCATCTCTAATTACTACGAAGGTAGCGAAGACTTCTGAGCTAGCGTTAGATGTTAGCGCTTGAAGCTGCGACTGCTGACTAAAAATAAAAATTATAGCGAGGAAGCACGTTCAAGCCGGGTCACTCCATTCCGAAACACGTAAACGCATGACCTCATGCGAACCTCCGGTTCTCGGCTTACAACATACTAGAGCTCCATTAGCATCCACTCGTTGAGCTACCTAACTCATGAGCAAAATGTGAAATGTTTTTCTGTCGATGCTTTTGGGAACGGCGGGTGAGACAGGACAGCCTAGAGGACAGAAGAAACGCTCAGCCAGGGTTTGCCCACGTACAGTCGTGCGTCTCTGGGTTGGTGTGTGGTGGTGGTGGTGGTGGTGGTGGTGGTGGGTTTGTTTGTCATATCCCTGCAAATGCGCGCCCCTCCATCGATACAGTGAACGTACCGTGAGGGGTGACTGCGAAGGGCTGTGTGAGGGAGTGAGTGGAAGAGTTCTGAGGGAGTGAGGGAGTTGGGGATTGGAAGGTGGTCCTTAGCATTTCGCAGCAGTTTGGTTGGACTTTGCGGGAGCAACTCTCCCACCATTTCATAATTCTCAAACCCAAGCGGAAGCGCGCACGACGCCGACGGACCGCGCACCCGAGGTTCGACGACCAGTGCGAGGGTGCCACTTGGAAAAGTACGAACGGCGCGGTGGGCTTATGAGGGGCGAGAAGTGGCTGGGGTTTGGGCTTGTAGAGGGGCTGTGCGAAGCACGGCGCAAACGATGGCAGTGCGAGCAGTACAATCGCGAGGGTTGTCGTGATTGACGACAGTGTGATGCCTTCCATGACTTTCGCCATCCATGATCACCATCGCAGAGCCTGCGGCTCGGAAGTGACCACAGTGAGCGGGACCTGATTCGGTAAAAGGGATTGATTTATGGATTCGTAGCAAGTTCAAGGTTGGAGGAATCACAACAAAAAAAATATCCAGAGCAACAAACACAAGTAGAAGTAGGCATGCACCAGCACTGCTGTGAGGACAGGCATGGGCTATCCTTGTTATGCCTATCCGTTGTTTTTTTTTTAATATTTTTTTTTTCTCTGCAAAACTCTACGTTCTGCAATCCCTAACACTGAAACCTGCAATGTTTATATGCTATAGAGGTATATGTAGGATATGTTTGAGGATGTAGAACCTGCGTTTTGCGGATGAACTGTAGAGCCATGCTCTTTGTCGCCTCCCCCTCGAGCCAAAAGCCAACCTCCGTTTGGTAATTTGGTTGATCGATCGCGCCCACGTCAGCCCTGCTTTGGGAATTGTGAGTGCCGCACAATCTTGCCACGTGTACCACAGAGGTTGTCTGTCATCTGCAACACGTCAGCCCCAAGTCAGTTCCCGTCACCATCACCTATCGCTCAAAATTTCGGCGAGACTGGCGAGGTGCTAAAAACCGTTCATTCCGCCTGGATCGATCGTTACGATCGGCTGATTGAGGTTCCATCGATTATGTCACATCGAAGTCACTCTCACCTCGAGATCTGATCGCTCTCGGGGGCCACGCCCACGCCCCTCCTGGCAGCGTTTCTGTTGCAAGGCTCTACACATCCAGACAGAAATCAGGATCAAGGATCAGGACAGGACATCACTGGCTTTCCAGACCAGAGCATTGCAGCAGGGGTTCCCAGGGGGATCAACTTCACATAGCATTTCAGATTCTTCTCATTTTTGCCTGGTCGCTGCTACTTTTTTCCTCCCAGCAACCTGGTTAGCTTGCTCTCTGATCACTTGTTGCTTATCTTCAGCGCACCTCAGCTTCCCGCCATGGAGGCTGCCACCATGTCCGGCGCCAGACTCCTAAACGTGGTGCGATAGTCGTGATTTGATCTGTTGATTATTTCTAGTGTGGCCGCTTATGTTCCCATTGCAATCATGAGCACCTCCGTGCTGTGTACCTGTGAATCCAGTTGGACCCTTCTGCATCTAAGACGATAGTAATACAATTATCCCGAAAGAGGACCCTTGAACGCTAGGATCAAAGCAAGATCTATTTGGCAGAACTGATTCCATCGTTTAGTACATACATGATCCACCATCACCGGGCTCAGTTCACCATGCAATAGTATGCATATTTCATGATTATCAATCCACATCATCATCCATTAGGACATGCATATTTCTTTAGTCACTTCCCGCATCAACCACCTTCCTTGCCAATCACCGAATCACCAGGCCGCATCCGGCGTCAGCGCGGTCTCCAAGCGCGCGACGGTGTCGGCGTCGGCCACGCCGTCGTGCACGGCGCGCGACCCCTTCACCGCCTCCGCGCCCATCGCCAGCGTCTCCTCCTCGCTCGCCGGCACCTCCCTCCGCCGCCACGCCGCCGCGCAGTCCCTCTCCGCTCCCCCCAAGGCCGCCGCCGGAAAGTCCCGCGGAGGCGCGCTGGGCGCCACGTGTCAAGAGAAGATCCTGGTGGCGAATCGCGGCGAGATCGCGGTGCGCGTGATCCGGTCGGCTCACGAGCTGGGCATCCCGTGCGTGGCGGTGTACTCGACCATCGACCGCAACTCGCTGCACGTCGAGCTTGCCGACGAGGCCGTCTGCATCGGCGAGGCTCCCTCCGCGCAGTCGTGAGTCTCCGCCGCCACTTCTCCCCGGAGTCGTGAGTTTCGCCGCCTCTCACTCTTGCGCGCAGTCGTGAGTCGCCGCGTCTCCCTCTCCGCCACCAGGCGTCGCTGTGTCGTCTTATCGATTGCGTTCTCCATATCAGCGCCACTCATGGTGTGCCCGCATCGGCCCCAAACCCATTCTCATGCGCCGCACCTGCCGCACGCCCTTCTCTCCATGCGCCCTCCCCGCGATGCCCTCCGCGCGCGCGCAGATACCTGAACATTCCGAACCTGGTGGCGGCGGCGGTGAGCACGGGCTGCACGATGGTGCATCCGGGGTACGGATTCCTGGCGGAGAACGCCACGTTCGTCGAGATCTGCACCGACCACGGCCTCAACTTCATCGGCCCCAAGGTGCGGTGTTGTGTGGTGCCGTGCGGTGGCGCGGGGTGAATTGCGGTTGGGACAGGGACGGCGCGTTAGTGTTGGGAGGAGCTGTAGGGTGGGGTGATTTGGCGGGAAGCAGCGGCGGTCATGACCTCAGGAACGAGTTAGAACGATTTCAAATAGCAGGACTGTTCTGAAATTTTAAGAAGAGGGTTTTAGAGCAAGGAGACCATGAATGATGAACACGGTGACCACCTCCTTCGTCGCTCCCTCGCTCTCTCCGTAATCGTCTCTCCTGTCCTCTCATGCCTTGCGACTGCCGTGCGATTGCTGTATGTGTCGCAGCCCAACAGCATCCGCCTGATGGGCGACAAGGCGACGGCGCGCGAAACCATGCGACGAGCCAACGTGCCAACCGTGCCCGGCAGTGAAGGGCTGATCGACGTGAGTACGCACTTGCTCGCATGCGCTATGTCTCACATGCACGCTTACACGCGCTCTCACATGCACACTTACACGCGCTCTCACATGCACACTTACACGCGCTCTCACATGCACACTTACACGCGCTCTCACATGCACACTTACACGCGCTCTCACATGCACACTTACACGCGCTCTCACATGCGCACACACTGACGAACGCGCACATTCACGTGTTACAAGCTCGGTCATGCGACAAGTAGCTCGGCGATACATGCACTCCCACACTCATTGCCATTCCTCACTACCCTCTCCTCTCTCCTCCCCATCCCCTCACCCTGCCCCGGCCCCATCTCCTCTCTCCCACCCCTCCTCCCCCTTCCCCGCTCCGCCCGTTGGCGCAGACGGTGGAGGAGGCGCTATCGGTGGCGGACGGCATGGGGTACCCGGTGATGATCAAGGCCACGGCGGGCGGCGGAGGTCGCGGCATGCGCCTCGTGCTCGAGAGGGAGGACTTCGTCAAGCTCTACCAGGTGAGACGGGGGTTGCATCGCAGCGGGGGTGGCATCGCAGCGGGGGTTGCATCGCAGCGGGGGTTGCATCGCAGCGGGGGTTGCATTGCAAAGGGGGTGGCATCGCATGACAATGCGCTGCTTATATGAGATGGAACACGCACGTTGCTCCTTTGTCAGATATGGCGCTCATGCTCTGTGCTTCACACACGTCTATGAATTCCTCTCGCAAGAACCCAGACCGCATACTTTAGTAATCTTTGCTTTTCATCCATCCATCACTTCGAACGGTTTTCCCCCCTAAATACTTGCTATTCTTGCCCACCTTTGCCTCCCGTGTGCGTGCGTGGCGCGAGCAGCAAGCGCGGCAGGAGGCGGGGGCGGCGTTCGGCAACGACGGGGTGTACCTGGAGAAGGCCATCGTGCGCCCGCGCCACGTGGAGTTCCAGGTGAGCCGCAAGCGAGCCAGGGGGGTCCCGCCACGTGGCGTTTCAGGTGAGCGAGATGCAAGAGGCATCTGCCACGTGGCGTCCTGAGTGGGTCAAAGTGAAGCTAGCAGGGCAGGGGACATGAGGCATGAGGCTTGGTGCTTGCCAAGGCTGGGGAGTTGCAGCTGTTGCTGTAATTTATGGCACTGTCGCAGTCCTGCTCTCTGCCACCCTATACTTCCTCCTCATTTTACTCGTCCACTCGTACCCTCCCCACACCCGCTCATCCCGTCTGCGCCCCTCGTCCCTCCCCCACCCTGCCAGCAAGTGCTGGCGAACAAGCACGGCATCCATATCGAACCTCCCCCCCTCCCCCCCCCCTCCTCCCCACATTCTCTCAAATCCTCTACTCCCTCCGCGCCCCTTGCACCCCTTGTCTTTCGTTACCCCAACGTCGCCCCTCGCAGGTGCTGGCGGACAAGTACGGCAACGCCATCCACCTCTTCGAGCGCGATTGCTCCATCCAGGTGACCTAACCTCCCTGCTCTGCGCTCGCCGCGATGCCAGTGCGCGTGGAGGGTGTGAGTGTTGAGGGCGTGTGGTGTGTGAATGAGCATCTCGACACTCGTGCACCCTGCACAGACGCGGCAAGCATCCTGTTGCTGCACTTGTCAATCTTATCTCACTCTCACTCCGTGTGCCTGTCCGAACGTCCTTCCACACCTTTCCTCCGCACTCGTCCTATCTCGATCAACCCCCTTTCCCACCCCCTCTCCCCGCCCCCTCTCCCCGCCCCCTCTCCCCGCCCCTGCTCTTTCTCACGCTGCCCTCTCTCCCACCCCCCTGTCCCCCATCTCCCCATTCCCTCCCCCTCTCCCCCCTGCTCACAGCGGCGCAACCAGAAGCTGGTGGAGGAGGGCCGTCGCCCGAGCTGACCCCCGCCCTCCTCTCTCCCTGTCCCCCTCTCACCCCGCCTTCCTCTCCCGCGCCCACTCTCCCCCTAATCTCCCTTTCACAGCGGCGCAACCAGAAGCTGGTGGAGGAGGGCCCTTCCCCCGCGCTCACCCCTGCCATCCGCAAGGCGATGGGCGACGCAGCGGTGGCGGCGGCGAAGAGCATTGGGTATGTGGGCGTGGGCACCATCGAGTTCCTGCTGGCTGAGACGGGCGAGTTCTACTTCATGGAGATGAACACCCGCATTCAGGTGAGGCAATGGACTGCGGATGCAGGTGAGAGGAAGGGGGGGGGGAGGGGGGGGAGATCACGAGTGCACAGGAAGAGCATTGGGTATGTGTGCGTTGGCACTGTGGAGTTCCTGCTGGCTGAGACGGGCGAGCTCTACTTCATGGAGATGAACACCCGCATTCAGGTGAGACGAATGACAGGGCCTGGCAGGTCGGGGGGGGTGCAGGTGTGATGTTCACTTACATGCAGATGAGACGGTGGACTGGGTGAGACAGGTGTAAGGATGCAGGTGACAAGCAGAACTCAGGCCAGCATTATGAGCAGGGTGGGGCAGGGGCGTTCACTCATGCAGAGGAAGGCAGCGCATGCGGTGACTTTTGAGGCGCCTCTAAGGTAGCGCATGCGGTGATTCAACTAGAGAGGTGACTTTTGAGTCGACTCAAGGTCAAGACGGTGATTGAACACTCAACCTGGCCGTCACGAACCATGAGAATCTGAAGTGCATGACATATTCGCATCTTACAACTGGGACCGATAATCCTAATCCATCTTCCGCGGTATGACATGGCATGTGCTGGCGCCTGCACTTCACTCACACCCATCCATGTGCCCCTGCTGCCTCCCTGCCCCCTCTTCTCCCCTTCCCCTATCAGGTGGAGCACCCGGTGACGGAGATGATCACGTCGGTGGACCTCATAGAGGAGCAGATCCGAGTGGCGATGGGAGAGAAGCTGCGGTACAAGCAGGAGGACATCACGGTGCGCGGGCACGCCATCGAGTGCCGCATCAACGCTGAGGACCCCTTCCAGAACTTCCGCCCCGGCCCCGGCCGCATCACCGCGTACCTGCCGCCCGGGGGGCCGTTTGTGCGCATGGACAGCCACATCTACAATGATTACCTCGTGCCGCCCTCCTATGACTCGCTTCTTGGCAAGGTGGGTTGGGGGCATTGACTCGCGTTGACTCGTTTGACTTGCTTCTGCGCAAGCAGCTGGCCTCCATCCAGCCTGCTGAGCTGCTCATCACTCCTCTTCACTGCCTGCCTTTTCACTCTCCTCTCCTCACTCTTCCCCTCCCCCTTCCTACCCCCTCTTCTTCCCCTGCTGTTCTCCTTTCCCCTCCTCCCCTTGACTCAACACGGTGGCGAGCAGCTGATAGTGTGGGCGCCCACGCGGGAGAGGGCCATAGAGAGGATGAAGAGAGCGCTGCATGACACCATCATCTCAGGTGCGCCCACTGCAGCCCTTTCTCCCTTACCTTCTCTTGTATGCATTCTGCGTCCCTTTCCCCCGTTACAATCACCTCTGGTACCATCACCACTGCACATTCCCCCCTCCCCCCACCCCCCCAACCACCTCCATACCACTAAGCCTCATTCCTTCCATCATTCCAAATCCACCACCCCGTCCCCTGCCTCCCTCACTCACACCCTCTCCTCTCCCCCGTGTGTTGCTTGTCTACCCCCTCCCCACCCCTCCCAGGCGTGCCGACCACAATTGATTTCCACAAGCTGATATTGGACGTGCCGGAGTTCAAGGAGGGCAAGGTGGACACCAGCTTCATAGCCAAGCACGAGGAGGAGCTCTCTGTTGTAAGAGCCCGGCCTGCCCTCTACCCTGTCCCTCCCTGCGCTGCCTTTCTGTGCCCTCCTCCACCCTGTCCCACCCTGCCCTGCTTTTCCTGCCATTCCTGTTATCATGCCTCTCTGTCAGTGCCCCCCTCCCTCCCAACGCATCTCCGTCCACCCTTTCCTCACCCCTTTCCCCCCCGCCCCCCCTCCCTGCAGCCGCCCACGGGTAAGAAGGTGCAGCTGGGCTCAAAGAGCAAGCCCAAGGCTCTTGCCTAGGCACCACCACCCCCTTGGCTTTGCCTCGCATTTGCCTCGCCAGGCCCGATGCAAACAAGCAAGCAATTGCTGGGCCTCGCTGTGCTTGCTCTAGGTGCTCTTGGTTACCTCTGCTCTTCATGAACTGCGATTTTGATTATCTTAGGATGAACAGTGTGATCCAGTATGCTGCTAAAAGTAGCTCTCAAATACAATAAAGCTGGAACAACAGAATCAACAAGTGGACGCCTTGTTTGAGGTGGAGAGGTGAGTTTGTTAGCATATCTTGGAACCCAACCATGTACCTCAGGCTTATTGTTGAGCATTCGATTCAAACACTGAATGTGAAGGCAAACATGATACGTATTACTTGCAGCGTCCAAATCATTTATAAATACTAGACGGATCTAAGCAAAACACATAAAACATGCCCTGTGAACATTCCAAACTACAGCTACGTGCATACTCCTGGGGGGAGACGAGCCAGAGGGAGAGACAGAAAGAGTGCAGAGAAGGAGACGAGATGAGAAGGAATGAGGGTGAGAAGCAGAGGCAGAGAGAGGACCGTGTTGGGAAGGATGCAGCGCAGTGACAGGTGAAGCAGCAACTGTGGGGATGAGGACAGTGCATTTGATGCTCTTGCTCACCGCGCCGCCATCTCACATGCCCAGGGAGCAGTGTAGACATGGCGCTGCCCCTAAGGTTCAACCAAGAATGCCTCCACGTGCCCTCTGCACTCACGAGTCGCCAACGACTCACCTCCAGTGCTGCTCATGGAGTCCTCCAGCGCTTGCTCTGCTGCGCCTCTTCCCCACGCCCCGCTGTGCCCTTGCCCCCCACACCGCTCCTCTGCGCGCCTCTCTGTGGACCGCCCACGGCCCACAGCCGCTGTGAGGGGGACGAGGCCCGCCCGCTGCTGCCCTGCCTGCCCTGAGTGCTGCGCCGCACGCCCGCTGCCGCTGGTGCTGCCTGAGGGACTGCTGCACCTGACTGCGTGCCCCTGTGCTGCTGCTGCTGCGGGTTCTGCTGCTGTGGGTGCTGGTGTTGGTGGGGGTGGGACGGTGAGCGGCGAGAGGGGGAGAGGAAGCGGCGAGAGGGGGAGAGGAAGCCAGTAAGCAAGCCGAGGGCACGGCTCGACCCTCCACTGGCACTCCGCGGGCTGCTGCTGCTGTGAGGGTGGCGGGGCGAGTGCAGGAACGCAGGGAGGGCGTGAGAGTCAGAGGAGGCAGAGGTGGAGGAGAGAGTGCGACCCGTGACACGCATGTCCCTCCCCACTGCCCTTCCCTGCTCCATGCCCCCTTGCCACACGCCATCCTCAGGTCCTTTGCTCTGCTGCCCCCCTGCCGCCCCTCCCCCCTGCTGCGAGGTCCTCTCCCTGACCAGCACGCGCACGGGCAGCAGCGACTGCAGATGCCGCTCTCCCGGATCCACCGCCACCAGCCCTGCCCGTACACCCGCTCTCCCTGCTGCCGCTGCCGCTGCTGCTGGGGCTGCTGTGGGCGCTGCTGCCTTGGCCATCTTCTTGTGCTCCCTGACAGCTTCCGGCACATTGCCATTCTGCTCTCGCAGCACACCTGCCCACCTCTCCCCATCACCACCATTACTCCCCTCCTCCACGCCCCTCCCCCCGAGCCTCACATCCCTCCCTTCACTCCCACCGCCCTGCCACCCTGCCTGCCGCACATCCTCCCAGCTGCCAGCACCATGCTGCCTGTGAGCTGCGCTCACAAAGCCCCTAGCAGCAGCAGCAGCAGCGTGTGTCAAGCGAGCGGGAATGGCAGCACTAACTCCAGCACTGCCGCTGCCATCGCTGCCACTCCGCTCACTGCCACCCTCCAGTATGCCTGCAAGACCCCCCCCTCTGGCCTCCGCGCCCTGGCCTTCCCCCACGCGTGCACCACCCCCTCCCTGCTCCGCCCCCTGCGCCAATCCAGAACTGATCCCACCCGCCCCTCTCCCACCACCAGCGCCAGCGCCAGTGGCAGCGGCAGCAGTGGTGGCAGGGGCGGGGGCGAGGAGGGTGGAGGAGGTGGCGCGCAGGGCGGACACACGCGAGCGCAGGGCCGCCACACGCTGCTTCAGCGCTGAGGGGGGCTCCCCTCCCCCCCCGCCCCCGGCCCCGCCCCCACCCCCGGCCATGCCTGCCCTCCATCCGCAGCCTGCGCCTGTGCCCCTGTCCCCTTAGTGGAGGCCCGTGCCCATCCACTGCTCGCACCAGCGGCAGCACCAGCGGGAGCAGCGCCAGCAGCAGCAGCACCAGGCCCCTCTTGACGCCCAGCGCGGGCAGCACGAGCTGCCGCCCCGCTGCCTACCATTCCACTGCTTCCGAATGCCCCTGTTGCTAGGCTTGCCACGGCTGCTGCACCGCCCCTGCCCGACCCGCTCCCAGTGTCGCTTCTGCCCCCTGCCCTGCTCTCCCTCGCGCTCCCACCCACCCGTGCCTGCAGCAGTGACTGCCGCACCTGCTGCGAGTCCACCTCATCCTCCACGTCATCCGCCACGTCATCGTCCGCGGTGCAGCACACGCCATACGAGCGAGCCTGTGACCCTGCCCCTGCCCCTGCACGTGACACGGGGCGCAGCACCCATCCCTGCGCCGTGCACTGCTCTTCCCACTCCTCGTCCACCCCGCTCATGCCACTCACTCCGCTCGTACCGCTCGGCTCACTCCCCCCACTCGCCGCATGCGCGCCTCTCGCCTCCTCTACCTCTCCGCGCGCCCCCTCTCCCCCACCCGCCACCTCCTCCAGCACTACCACGCGCTGCTGCTCCGCCACCCACGCCTCTGGGCCCCCGTGATGCGCCCCGCGCTGCGCCATAGCCTGCACCGCCCCCTTCCCTCCCCCGCACACCCCGTGCTGCGTGCGCGCCTCCCCCTCTCCCCTCAGCACAGCTGCCACCGCCTCCTCTCCGCCTCCCCCTGCCACTACTTGCGCCACCTCGCGCTCGTCTCTTGCCCTACCAGAATACCTCGCACCTCTCCGCACTTCTTCCGCGCTCTCTCCCCCGCGCGTCCCCCTTCCCCCCAAAGCCCCCGCAGCCCGCCCCATCACGTGCTGCAGCGCGCTTCTCGCGCCCCCCCCGTCCCCCACCACTCGGCTTGCGCCCGCGTCCGCTCTCGACGACGAGAGACTGCGGCGGCCGCGCATGGGAGAGAAGGTTCGGCGAAGCAACACGCCCGACTCCACGGCTGAAGCGCCCTGCGCGGCGTGCGAGCCACCCTTCCCCTCGACCCGTACCGAAGCCGCATCGCTCTCGTTCCGTGTCTCCGCGCTTCCCCTACCGCCCGCCGACCGTGCCGTTTGCCAAAACTTGTTGCCGCCGCCGCTGGCTGGCCAATAGAGCGCGCGGGGCTGGGGTTGCTGTTGCGGTTGGTCCGCAATGACGTACGGGGGTCTGCGGCGGCCGGGGGAAGCTCCGCTGCCGCAGTCGGACTCAGATTCGGAGAAGGAGGCGGAGGAGGCGGAGAGCGCGCGAGCCACGGCCGAATCGCCGCTGGTGGCGGGGGAGCGCGCGGCACTGTTGCCGCCGCCGCGGCTGTCGTGCTGCCCCTCCCGCGGTGCTCCGTGACTGGCGCCGGGGGCGGGCAGTGCGACCGCGGGTGGCGCAGGAGCGGGAGGGGCGCGAGTGGGAGGCGCACGGCTGGGGGGGTCATGAGGGTTGGCGGAAGTGAAACTGCCGCTTCCACCGCTCACATCCGCCCATCTTGCCTCGCGCATATCTTCCCCCTCGTCGTCTGCACCCGCCGGTACCCTGCCATCGCCTCCCCTCGCCTCACTCCCCGCACTGCCTCCCGCTCCTTCCGCGCCAGTCGCCTCCCCCATGCCATCCACCTCCGCCCACTCCGCTTCCCGCTGCGGCCCTCCGCGCGCCCCCTTGAGCGCGGGCCTGGCGGCTTCAAGCAGCGCCACGGCGCGCTCGAGATCCGCGCCGAGCGAAGACACTGCGGACAGGGGACGACGGGTTGGGGGAAGCGGCGGCGGGAGCGGAATGAAGATTGCATAGGGAGAGAAAAATATGAGTGGTTGAGAGGCTACATGGAAGGGCAGCGAGAGCGAGGAGAGAAGCGAACGGCGCCAAGTGCTGTGGCAGGGCAGGTGACGAGTGAGAGCAGCGCAGAACGGAGCAGACCGCAGCGCAGTGCCATTGGAAATGGAAAATTTTCACACATGGCAGCGCGGACGCGCGCAGTGCACGGAGCACCGCGCGGACAGCAGCCGATGGCGCGCAGAGCACTTGGCGGGGGCTTACCTTGGTCGTTGAGCTGGTCGATGATGTCCCGCTGCTCTTCCGCCTCCGCGCGCATGCGCGCGCTCTCCTCCTCCCACCGCTGCCGCTGCCCCTCCATCGCCCCCTCCGCCTCTCGCCTCGTCACCTCCTCCTCGCCCACTCGCTGGTGCAGCTGCTTCACCTGCACCGCATGGCAACACATGGCGACACCGGATAACAGACGGTAAGACACGGAAACACATGAGCACACGCCACCAGATGGCAACACCCTGTTCACACACGGAAGCACACACCCCAAAACACAGCGTTCGTGTGTGCATAACACGGCCGTCGCTCCCACACTCCCTCTCGCCCTCATGCGCCCCCACTCGCCTGGTGGTGCAGCAGCGGCGCGGCGGCGGCGGCGGCCTCCACGTGGCGCCACGCGGAGAGCGTCTTGGCGAGCAGCCCGAAGAGCGCCACGTCCAGCACGCGCGCGGGGCTGGCGCAGCTGCGCAGCAGCACTCCGCCCTCCACCACGCCCTCCCTCCCCCAGCTCCACCCGCCCGCGCTTTCCGCAGTCCCGTCGCCCGCCTCCCCTGCTTCCGCCACCCCCTCCCCCACGGAGTCGGCAGGCAGAACCTCCCAGGTCTCCGCGTCGCCCACGGACCTGCGCGCGCACGCGGCGCACACGGCGAGCAGCGGGGAGGCAGGCAGTGAGTGAAACATGAGGATGACGAGCCGCGGGGCAGATGATACACCTCGACCTCCTCTCTACAAGCATGGAATTCACTTTCTCCCCGACTCACCCCCCGTCCGCCCACTTACCCATCCCCCCCCCCTCCCACCCCCCGGGCCCCAGCTCCTCCAGGCCCCCCACAAATCCCCCCACGCGGCGCTCACCAGGTGCGGAACGAGTCGCGCTCGCCGGGCATCAGCGCGGCGGAGAGGCAGCGCCCGTCGGCGGCGAGGGAGCGCAGCGCGATGCGCGCGGGCGCGACGACGAGCAGCACGAAGAGGCAGTCCAGCGGCCAGCGCCCCAGCCCGCCCGTGAGCGACGCGCACACGGCTAGCGACGCGGCGTGGGCGGAGCGGCGGAGCGGGTCGGCGGGGGAGGCCGCGAGGGCGTTGGAGCTGTCGTCAGCGCTTGACGGCGTCGGCGTGCCCAGCTCCCACCTGCCGGCCAGCCGTCAATGGATGGCACGAGGAAAATGGGAGGGCGGAAAACGGGAAAGCTACGATTAGCTCGAGTGAGTCAGAAAAGCGGCCGTGCCTGCAAGTGCTGTCACTCGGCTTCGTAGGTGTCAGAAAGCTGAGTGCACGCGCGTTCGTCTGTCCCATGTGGCACGGCGTGTCGTGTGGCGGACGTACCTTCCTTGATAGCGCACGGCCGCCAGTCGCGAGGAGCCGGCCAGCAGACACACGAGCGACCCGTGCTGCAGCACCGACAACGGCAGCCGCGTCACCGCGGGCGCTCCGAACGTGGCAGTAGATGCGGCGGCGGGGGCAAAGTGCGGCAGGGAAGCGGAGGAGGCAAGGAGCGGAGCGGATACGGGCACGCCAAACACGAGCCCGCCTCGCGGGACATCGATTGCGCTTGTCAAGGAGTTGTGGAGAGTGGGCGCAGACGCAGGCGAGGCGTGGGAGAGGGGAGGAAAGAGACGGTGCTGTGAGAGGGCGGCTTCGCTGGTTCCATGCGTCGATTCGTGCGAATGATCATCGGCGCTGGCACGCGCGCGGCGGTCGTGAGCAGCTTCGCCATCGACGTCATCATCGTGCGCGAGGCCCAGCGCGCGCTTGCCCGGGTCCATGAAGCTGCACTGCAACATGTCGTCCGTTAGTAACCCCGCCAACCGCACCGCCTCGCCCTCGTTCTCGACCTGGCCTTCAATCTCACCCTCCCGCTCGCGCACTCCCGCCCTCTCTCCCGCCGCCTGTCTCTCCCAGTGCTCAGCGTCGGCGTGTACAGACACGTCGTGCGGCAGCACGGGGTGACCCATCACAAGGATGCCAATATCACGCCCCGCGGCCTCCGGCCCCTCTACCTTCAGCCCCTCGTCTCGCGTGCCCCACTCATCGCCCACGGCGTTGTGCAAGAAATCTGTCGCTTTGCCTTCATCCCTCGCAGGCCTCACTTGATTATCGTTCGTCACCTCTCCTACTTTTCTCTCGCGTCCCTCCTGCCCCATCCGCGCGCCCTCGATTCTACTTTCGCATTCGCTGTCGGACGAGCTGTCCGAACTCGCCGCTGCCTTGTCGTCCGCGCGACGCTCAGCTGCGCTTCGTCGCTGCGGCCAACGCGCCCGCGCGTCTCGCGTGCTACCTAGTTGGATCGAACGGTTCCGATCCGCGTTCGCTGATCGATGGCGCGCTATTCTTTCTAGCGAGTGATCACGCGCCGCCGCCCTGGCTTCCTTGTCCTGCTGTCGAGCACGTGCCTCCCTGCTCACCCTTCTCGACTCGAGCGACTTTCGCCGTGGGATCTGTTTTATTTGCTCCGCCGCCCCCACGCGCTCCTCGCTCGCCGCGTCCGCCTGAAGCAGCTGGTGAAACGACCAGGGAACATTTCTGCTCTCGCTCCTCTGCTGCTTCCGCGCAACCACCCCCGATGATTGCCGCCTCGTCTCCTGCGCTGCCAAGCCGGCGGACTCCTCCTGCACGCGCGGCGACGGCAGCGGCAGCCACACAGCGCTTGACCGCCCCACCGGCTGCTCCGCTGCTGCCCCCCCAACGTCCATGTCGAGGTCTACCGACTGAGCGGATGGCTGGCCGTCTGAGCTGCGAGACGGAGACGCCGGGAGGAGGCCGGGCGGTGTGACGTCGACAGGTGGGCTGCCTTTGCGCATGAGCCACGACGCCGCCTTCGCGAGGGATGGCGATGGCGCGGCTGGCTCTGCTGATGCGTTCCATGCTGCTGGATGCGCGTCCACTTTAAGATTGCAATAGCGGCTCTCCTCGTCCGAGGCGGACATCGCGCCGTCTCTTTCTCGCTGGGGAGTCTCGTAATACCCCGATCGCGAATCAATTGAAACGCCATATCCGTCGTACCTACCTGACTTATATGCTCCTGCCATCGCGTTTGTATCTAAAGAAACATCGAGCAATGCAAGCGAGAAAACCCGTTCTACCGCGACCAAACTAAACAAACCAAACCAAGCGGCCTACTGTACTATGAAGCGTTTGAAATGGAACTGGCGGCCCCCAAGGAGGTGAGAAATGTCTGCCTCCGAGATTTCACCTCGCCTCGCTCGACATTGTCGTGTCAGGGAGATTTCTACCACTGCCCCTCCCCACGCGCCTCGGCGACAGCCTTCGGGATTTGACGATCTGATCCAATGCAAAGGTCAGGTCCTCGAGCACTGGCCGCGTCGCGCTTTCGTGTACGAGGGATAAATTTCCCGCGCTTCCTCCAGAACAGTCCCGCTCATTGGCACAGTGCAGCTGAGTTTGTCGAAAAGTGATAAGCTTAATTAAGACACAATATAAAAAACATATCAACTGACCTCTACAGCTCATGATCATCCACAGAATTGGCTGCTTGCAAATGCTTCATTCAACTGCCACGTGATGGGGGACTCTACAAACTTGGATAAATTACCCATTCAAAACACAAGCCAAGTCGCTCAGTTTGACTGTGGGGTAAACATACCATTCCCCCGCTTCGTTTTCAACCTGCACAGGGGAGGGAGCATGAAAATACGGTGCAACTCAAACAAGAGAACCAGGCGCAAGGTGCATCTGGAACATGCAACCTTACTACATTCGTGCAAACCATTCCCAAAACAGGGCGAGCATGCATGGAGGATGGGCATGCGCCCATGTAGTGTGGCCAGCAAGATAGCGACTCACGAGGGGGCGAGGGGGCCGAGGTTGGCGACGAGGGAGCCGGAGGCGGCATCGAGCACGCGGCCTTCTTGGTCCAGCAGGTACGAGCGGTGGGGCACCGCCGGCACGCCGCGGCGCACAAGGGGGTCAAGGTCGCGGCGCTGCAGCTCCCTGCCATTCACCACCACACCTGTCCTGCCGCCCGAACAGTCGCGCTGCATGGGCTCTGTGAACTGCGGCAGGCGTGCCTGCATGCACACACGGGGATGCCAAGGGGGGGGAGGAGGGGGTTGGGGTAAGGCAGTGGGTCGCGGCACTGCCGCTCCCTGCTGTTCACCACCACTCCCGTCCTGCCGCCCGAACACTCAACCGCATGGCCTCTGTGAACTGGGGCAGGCGCGCCTGCATGCACATGCGCACACACACCCAGGCACACGCATGCACACACAGTAGTGCCAGGGGGGGTTGGGATGGGAGTTGCGCAGTTCACAGGTGCCGGTAGCTAGATGGGGACGGCGATGGTAGCCGGAGGGCGATTAGGTGGGCGATGTGAGGAGGGAGGCAAGCATGGCTTACAGGGATGATGCCGAGACAGGGGCCGCCCACCACCCCCCAGAAGCCAGCCGTGTGGTCGTACCTGGACAAGAGGGGGAACACAATGATGGGGGCACAGTCCAGCAGGTAAGCAGCGCGGCATGAGCGCAGCAGCATTTCATTTCAAACTGTGGCTGAATGCATGGTGTACGGCGCAAGGCGGAAGCACGGATGTGGTGCAGAAAGAGAAGATGGAAGGAGCAGCATGGCAAGAGCATGAGGGGGCGGTGGTACGGTACCAGTAGTGGCCGGGGTCAATGGGGCCCACAGTGACTTCCGCCTGAGCCACCAGGGCATCAGCTGTGGGGCTGCCATTCACCACCACGCCCTCCCATACGACCCCCTCTCTCCCCAGTACGCCTCTCCCCCAATCCCACTCCCATACGACTCCTGCCGCCCGCCCCTCCACTGCCCCTCCCCCTGCCCCCTCGCCCCCAGCTCCTCCTCCAGCCCGCCCTGCAGCCCGCCCTGCAGTCTGCCGCCCGCTCCTGCCGCCCCCCGCTGCTGCGCCTCCTCCCGTGCCCCCGCCGCCCGCACGCCGTTCTGCAGGCGCTTCATCACGGGAGTATCCGCCGCCCGCTCCGTCCAGTCAGCGGGGGGCGGTGTCCAGTCAGCAGGGGGCGGTGTCCAGTCAGCAGGGGGTGGTGTCCAGTCAGCAGCAGGTGGAGTGGAGGAAAACGAGGAGGAGGGGGCAGCAGGGAGGTGGTGGTGGGGGAGGTGGAGGGGGGAGGGCGAGGAGGAGAGGGCGGGGGAGGCAGCAGCGTGGGGGTGTATGCCCGGGGAGGAGGAGGAGCGACTCATGGGGCCTGCTGCCTGCCGTTGCTGCTGCCACTCCCTCTCACTCATGCGCACCTGCTGCTGCTGCTGCTGCTGCTGTTGCTGCTGGCTATATTGTTGCTGTTGATGCTGCTGATACTGCTGCTGCTGCTGCTGCTGCTGCTGCTGCAATTGCTGCTGCTGGCTATACTGCTGCTGTTGCTGGCTATACTGTTGTGGCTGCTGCTGCTGCTGCTGGCTATACTGAGGCTGTTGTGGGGTGAAGACAGGAGGGCGAGCAGGTTGGGAAGGTTCTGGGGAAGCGTGGGAGGGAGAGGAGTGGAGGTGGAGAGGAAGGGAGTGGGAGGCGGGGAAGGCGGAGGAGGGGAGGGCGGAGGAGGGGGAGTGAGAGGAAGGAGGGGGCGGGGGGATGGCGAAGGAGGAGATGGCGAGGCAGCTGCCGCACCTTAAGCGCTGCACCATCTTGTTCTTTCGGCTGCGCGGCAGATTCTGCGGCACGGCTAGCGTCTGCCCGCAGTGCTGGCACTGCAGTGCAGAGGGAGGGGCGATAAGGGGCGAGCGGTCGAAAGCAGCAGAGGCAGAAGGAAGTGAAGGAGAAGAGGGTGAGAGTGGAAGAGGGGCATGCAATATATTGAAGGAGGCGTGGGGATGGGAGCAGGAAGGTGGCAGGGGGAGAGATATTGGTGCGTTTGCAGTGCAGTGCAGTGCAGGCGCTCATGTGCGCCCACCCATGCACACCCATGCACACCCATGCACACCCATGCACACCCATGCACACGCTCTGACCTGCACGAACTGAGGGGCGTCTGGCGGGGGCAGCCACGGCAGGTCCGGCGGCAGCTGGGACGACGCCTGGCTCTCACTGCCTGTGTGCCCCACACCCGCCGCTGCTGCTCGCTCGCCCTCCATTCGCCCCGCTGCTGTATCACTCTTCACAAGTCTCATATGCTGCTGCTGCTGCTGCTGCTGCTGCAGCTGCTGGGGGGGGGCGCTGCCCACACCATGGGCGTCAGAGCGGGGATCCAAGCTCTGCTCACCCCCGTACGCGTCCCTCTGCCCCGCTGCTGCCACGTTGCCCGCACTGCCCCAGCTCCTCGCGTCCCCACTGCCCCACCCCCCTGCCTCCCTCCCCCCCACCGTGCCCCCGTTGTCCCTGCCGCCCCCCTGCCCCGCTGCCCCCATCGCCCCGCCCCCATCCAAGCCCCTCGCACTCGCGCTCCTCCTGTACACCGCGCCCACACCCCCCCCCTCCTCCCCCACTGCTGCCCTCGCCTCGTCTCTTGCACCTCCGCCACCCGCCCCCATGCTCCTCCTGCCGCCGCCCGTCCCCATGCCCGTCCCCATGCCCGTCCCCATGCCCGTCCCCATGCCTGGTTCCCCTGCCATGGGCTGTGCATGGGAGGAGGAGCGCAGGGGCATGCCCATGTGCATCGAGTATGACTGCACCCCCACGCCCATGCCCACGCCCGTGGGCGGGCCCATGTGCATGGAGTACGATTGCACCCATCCCCATGCCCATGCCCATGCCCATGCCCATGCCCATGCCCATGCCCACGCCCCTGGGCGGACCCATGTGCATGGAATAAGACTGCAACCCCATGCCCACACCCATGCCCACGCCCATGTGCGGCTGCATGCCCCCCGCCCCCATGCCTCTGCCCTCCGACATGGCAACAGCACCGCTGTTCCACACCTCCTGCTCCTCCACCCCTCCTCTCCTCCGCGCCACCACCCCCTGCATCCCCCACTGCGCGCCCTCCTCCTCTTCCCCCATCCCCTCGCTCACTACATTCCCCACCCCTCCATCTCCCCTCCCTCCCGCCACGCCTCCGCTGCCCGCCCCCTCCCGGCCTCGCTCCCTCTGCGCCGGGGCTGTCTTGGCGGGTTTGGGCGAGCGGGGGGCGAAGGCCTGCTGGACGTACCTAGCAGCGCCCTGCAGGGGACTCACTTGCCCCACGCCCGCCAGCCGCCACGCACTCGCCCCCTTGCCCCCCTCGCCCGCGCCCTCCCCCCCCGCCCCTCTGAGCGGCTTCAGCTCCAGCAGCGCCTTGAGCTTCGATGCCAGAGGCCGCCGCTCCCTCAGCCCCTTTCCCCCGCTCGCCCCGCCCGCCTCCGCCCCTCCCCCTGCCCCTGCGCCTCCCCCTGCGCCTGCGCCTGCCCCTGCAGCGGCTCTGGAGGCGGAGGCGGGGGAGGCGGGCGCGGGGGAGGCAGGGGCGGGCACGGGGGGCGGGAGGGAGGCGGGCATGGTGTGCTGGCGGGGCAGCCACGAGGGGGCGTCCGCGGAGGCATACGGGCTGCCTGCGCCGCTGTCCGCGCTGTGTGTTGCGCCCACAATGGGGGAGGGCGTGGGGGAGGGGCCGTGGGGGAGAGAGGGCGCAGCAGAGAGCGCACGGTGGGCGGGGCAGGGCAGAGGCATGGTGCGCTGGCGGATGAGCGCACTGCTGCTGCTGCTGCTGCTGCTGTTACTGCCTGCACCCATGCCACCCATGTCATCCATGCCCAGGCCCATGCCGTTCATGGCCATGCTCAGATCAGGGTTTGAGTCGTAAGAGTGTCTGCTGCTGGCGGCGCTGCCACCACGCCACTCACTGCGCCCCACAAGCTCTCCTCCACCCCCCTCCCCCTCGTCCTCGCCCCTCAGCCGCACCAGATACGGCCCCTCGTGACTGCCCCTGCTCTTCCCCCCTCCCCCACGCCCGCCGCCGCTCATACCACCCACGCCTACTACCCTTCCTCTCTCTGCCGCTCTGTTCGTCCCTCCAATCCCGCGCTCCTCCTCCTCCTCGTCCTGCTCGCCCCGCCCTGCGCCCCTCTCCTGCTCGCTCGCTCTGCTGTGCTGCGACCGCTGCCGTGTGAGGATGTGGATCAGCGATGGCGATGGCGATGGCGATGCCCCCACGCCCGACCCTGCTGCTGACGCACCCTCACCCCACTCTCCGCCCTCCCGCCCCTGCCCGTCTGCCTCATCCCCCCCCCTCCCTGCCTCACCGCTCTGCACCACTCTGGCGGTGGGTCGGTTCTCCTGGGGGTCCGTAAGCTGTCTCAGCAGCCCCCTGCTCGGCGCGCCCATCTCCCGCCACCGCCCGCCCTCCCCCGCCGCCCCCCCTGGCATCGTCACCTGCCGCCGCAGCTCCGCCACGTCCTCCCCCTCCTCGCCTCCGCTCCCCTCTTCCCCCCCTTCCGCCCCACTGCCCCGCTCCCTCCCCCCGCTCGCCTCCGCTGCTGCAGGCGCGCGCGGATCTGGGGAGGCCGTGCGCAATGCGGGGGGCGGCTGCCCCAGAGGCTGTGCGAAGCGGGAGGCGTGCGGGAAGCGCGGGGGGAGAGTGGTCTGGCGGGGGAGCGCGCCTTGCCCCGCGCGCTCGCTGTCGCTCTCCGCCCCTCCTGCTCCGCTTGGGGTTTCCGGGCGGTCAGTGCTGCCAGGGCGACTGAGGCCGGGGGAGGAGGGCGCGGGGAGGGAGAAGGGGGAGGGGGCGTGGGCGGAGTGGGCGGCGGGGAAGAGGCGCGAAGGCATGGTGCGCTGGCGAGGCACCATCGCGTGCGCGGGCGACTGCTGCGGCGACTGCTGCGGCGACTGCTGCTGCGACTGCTGCTGCGAATGCATCTCTGCATCGTTCAACCCAGCGCCCCTGCTGTCGTCACGGCTGAACCTCGCCGCCTCGCCACCCGCAACCGCTGCTCCCGCGGCTTCCCGCTGCCCCTCGCCCTCTCCGCGCAGTGCTGCAGCGGAAGGCGCAGCAGGAGCGCCCATATGCGCGGAAAGGTTGGCGAAGGAGGAGGCGCGCAGCAGCGGTACGTCCACGCCCACCGGATGGCGCGGACCCCCCACGCCCACCGCGTGCTTCGCTGACGGCGGGAGCACGAGGGGGGAAATGCGGAGGGGAGTTGAGGGGTGGGGGCGGGGAGGAGGGGGAGAGTTGCCAGACGAAAGCGACGGAACAGGTTTGCAAGGTGAAAATGCAGTGTGAAGAACGAAAGGGGGAAGCTAACGAACTAGGGATACGCTGCGGCTTAAACGACGCGCGCAGCGTGTGCGCGTCATAGCGGGTGAGCATCGCAGCAGGGTGACAGATGAGCGCAGCTGCTCTGCCCAGCCTCTCGCGACGAGGTTTCACTTCTGTGCTAGGCGTACAAAGGGCGATGCGCAGTGCGAAGACTGACTTGGGGAAGCGAGAGGCGGGGGGGGGGGAGGGCAAGCGGGGGGCCAAGCGGCACCTTGCAGGACGGTGAGGCAGCTGCCGCACTTGTAGAAGGGGTGTCCCATGGGCGGCTCCTGCAGGATGGCGCGACACCGCGGGCACTGCACCATGCGCGACATGCTGCTCGCTCGCGCGCTGCCGCGCCACGCGCAACAATGCGCTTAGCGCGCACCGCCACGATAGATAAACAATTCGCAATACGCAAAAGAGCTACTCTTTCTATGTATGTGTGCGAAACGGACAGTCCTGGTCGTCGCATGCACCGGCATTGTGCGACCGTCGGGACCTCATCTCGCGACTCTACTTGTGTGGGTGGAGTGGGGTGGGGTGCCGGAATGGGAAAGGCAGCAAAGGCGAGGTTGTTCAAAAAGGTGGTTTTGTGGTTCAAAATGAGCGAGGTTGATGTTTAGGACGCGGCACCTCTAGGAATTTTGCAGGATCGATCGCAGGATCGCTGATTGCACCGCACTAAAACTCTCTGAAAGCATTTAAAATTCCCAACACAGTTCTTAACTCCGCAAAAAATCGATCCTGCGCAGGATCGATCGCAGGATCGGTGCTACAGGTGCCGCGTCCTTAGTTCGGTTTGGTTGGTTGGAGCCTCCGAGAAACCAATATCGGGGTTCGCAAAATCAAGGCAATGTGAAAGCACTCGACTCCCCTCAATACCCCCCTTTTGACTGGTTACTGCACTATACATGGCGATTTGCCAATGGACTCCCACTGCCATTGTCATTCGCCACCGCCACCTGCGGACACGGCACCTGTTTTCCTTTTGTCAGGATAGATCGTAGGAGGGGATCCATGTCCGCTTATACAGTGCATTAGCGACATCGTCAATGCGTGGTATCCGTTTTTCGCATGAATTCGAAAATGTACAGTACACGGGTACCCAAATTGGTGGCACTTGTAGCTCGCACGTTCGATGTGCCGTGGTGCATACATCGACCGTGCTTTTGGTTTGGCGGTAGAGCACATCGAGCCACAGGTGACAGCCGCGATCGATCGGCGTCGCCCAAGGTCGCAGGCCAAAAAATCTCGAGTCGTTGCGAATGAAATTGCTGGGCGACCAACCATGCTCTTCCTTGATTGGCTGCGCATTGCAGTGTGTTGGTGTATTCAGCCTGCCCGATCCTGCAATTTCGATCCTGGCACCTATAGCTAGATGTGTCTACCCCACCGCAAATTTTCAGTGTGGGCACATCGGTGTGCAGATCGATGTGTCAGGATCAGGACGCGGCACCGCTAGCAATTTTGCAGGATCGATCGCAGGCAGGATCGCTGAATGCACCGCACTAAAACTCTCTGAAAGCATTCAAAATTCCCAACACAGTTCTTAACTCCACAAAAAATCGATCCTGCGCAGGATCGATCGCAGGATCGGTGCTACAGGTGCCGCGTCCTGAGCGACAAGTTCCGAGAGTCCATCCACACCACGAGGTTTCCCTTCCGGCCAACCAGGTTTGCTGTCTGCTTGGGGGGGGCTGGAGCACATTTGTCAGCGCTGTCTGTTGTCCCCCATGCGCATAACGCACCTGCTACTTCTGCTCTCAGCTCCGGCCATCACGGGTCTTCTACAGCCTAACGGCAAAACAAGCCGCACGTGACGCGCTACCACGGGCAGAGCGTTGACGTTAATAGGAGGCGAACATTTATCGGTCGGCAGTCTCCGCGAGGCAGCTGTTTGCGCGGCTGATCCAAGTTCTGTTAATTCACTCGCGGCGCGCTCTACTCTCGCCTCTCACTTGGTAACGCCGTTCCTCCAGCTCGCGCCATGTCGCTTCGCTTATTATCGCGCTTGCTGGCAACGATGCGCCAATCGGGATTGATTTCGTAGCTGTCGTGTCGTGTGTGTTGGGTGCATAACGTGTGCATCCCGTGATCTCTGCGTGCGTGCGCGTCGTTCGTCTCATGTCTTGGGCGATGAGCGAAGATGCTCTGAGCCATGATGGCGCGACACGTGGGCCATGGTGCGACACGTGGGCCATGATGGCGCGACGCGTGAGCCATGATGGCAGGACTACGTGACGTGAGCATGACATGGCACTGGTCTTGGCCAACGCGCTGCCGCCATTGCTCTTGAATCACACACCCACCCATCCTGGCACGGCACCTTCATACTTACCCTCCCATGCCTTCTCCCTCCTACTCTCCCCACGCCTCCTCTCCCCCACGCCTCCTCTCCCCCACGCCTACTCTTCCCATTCCTTCTCTCCCAGTGCCTACTCTCCCCATGCCTGTTGTCACCAGGCCTACTCTCCCCGTGTGCACTCCCCCATGCTTATTCACTCTCAATCTCGTGCCATCCATCCCCTTTCATTCCCCCCCCTTGTTGCACTCAACCCCATCACCCCCTGCCTGCCAACACCACCACGCATGGTGGCACCAGGGATGGTCGCCGCGTTGTGACGGCACGGCCTTGCACTGCGCAGTGCACAGGGGCGTGTGACAGCAGGGAGCTGTACCAAGTGCCACCAGCGCCACTAACACGTTGCCATTGGGAGGTGCTTGCTGCCCGTTCCACCCTCGACAATTGGATTAAGAGCTGGTCAGCAAGAAGCTGCGGGCCCATCTGTGCCTGAAGCGGGTTCTGCTTGCTGGGTGTGGGTGGGAGGTGGGACCTCTCACTGACCGCAGCACCACCAGAGCGCCCAGCCACCCCACCCCAGCGTTGGCAGCGTGGCGGCGGCACTGACCCCGCTGCTGATGGACGCGTCTGGCCCGCCTGCCGACAGCCGGGACGTGGAGGGGGAGAAGGCGGCGCTGCACGCGGCGGTGCCGCCGATGCTGTCAGCGGAGGAGGACGTGGAGCAGCCGCAGCGCATGCAGCTCTTCATGGCGCACCTCATGGCGCACCTCTTCTGCTGCGGCACCCTCGCCCGCCCCCACTGCGACATCCCCGCCGGGCCCCCAGAGGCCAACGACCCGCCACCACCCCCTTCGCGAGGGTTTGTGCCCATAGATCGCTCCATGCCGCCCATCATGTCGGGGCGCGTGCTGCACCTGCCCGCCTCCTACCTCTTCTCCGCTGGCCGACCCTCAGAAGACGACGACTAGCTTACCGTACTAGCAGGTGGCTGGTGGATTAGCCTTTGTTCAGTCGACGTAGGTAAGTAAGTGTTATGGAATGACTTGACTACCTATATCTTGTATCGTGGTGTCTCCATATTTTCATGCCTCAAATTTGGTTGGTTGATTTGCTAAAGAAAACGTAGGTACCATGATCTCCCGAACAGACTATTTTTGCTCGCTCTACTGACAATCCATAAATGATAACAAAATTAACCTTAAAACATAGTTTATCTAAAATCAAATGATGCACTTATCGACCTTGTACCTATCAAACAAATTACATATCACAGATAATGCAGGTAATTTACAAATACAGAACCCTGCACAACAGGCAGCGTAACTACTAAGTCCTTAGCAAGGATTCTAACGCAAGAGAACACCAGCCGAAACCTTTGAACGAAACGGGCGAACCCAAACACAGGAGATGCACGAAGCCCAAGCATTTCGCTTGAAGCAGGTTTCCCGTAGTATGAATCGAGAACCATTGAAACTCCTCCACGCAAACTCAAAATCTATTCGCGCTGGCGTCATTCTGCTGTTTCCCATAGCGCCCGCGTTGAAAGCAGCTGCAAGGTACCATATAATGGGCCCAAAATATCAGGGTAAAATTGTCAAACATTATACTTGTGTTGTTGCTGTGTAGGCTACAGTGGGTTAGCCTTTAGGGGGTACACAATTCTAGGGTTTTGTATTTGTACTCCCATCTTCTCATAGTTCACACACTTCTCTCATTCTGACATGGTATTACGAGCCTAGGTTAGGAACCTAGGACCGATCGATCGTAGGGCCCACCGTTCCGTCAGTAGTGCCCTCGTGCACCTTCTCGTTCTTGCGCCCTCGTGCGCCTCGCTCCTAGGGCGCCCTCGAGCGCCCCGCTGTTTGGCCGCGTCGCACGCTAGCCGCCCGCGCGCGGCCCGTTTTTTGCCCGCGCAGCCCGCTAGCCGCCAGTGCGCGGCCTATTTCTGACGCGCGCGACCCTGCAGCCGCCTGCACCGCCGCAGCCGCCCACGAGCAGCCCGCTAGCCGCCCGTAGGCCGCCGCGTCGCTGCTTTAGACCGCCGCCCGCGCGCACCTGCAGCCCGTGCACAGCCACCGCAGCCGCCCAGGCCCGCCGTCGCGTCGCCCTGCCTGTCCAAGCGCGCCGCCCAACCCGGACCGAGCCGCGCCGCCCTCACTGAGCAGCGCCGCCCTGACTTAGCCGCGCCGCCTAGACCGAGCCGCGCCGCCCTGACCGAGCCGCGCCGCCCTGCTGTGCCCCACCTGCAGCATCTACTGTTCCTGCTACTGCTCCTACTGCTACTGGTCCTGCTGCTACTGTTCCTCCTCCTGCTACTGCTACTATGGCCAGTCCTACTGTGCTTACCTTTGACGCTGAGGGTCGTCCTATTAAGTTCGATGTTTGGCTCGATGACCTTCACCTCTACCTTCAGATCACCGCCAAGGACGATATTTCTCTTTATGACCACACGTCCGGCGCCGCTCCCGCTCCTGCTGCCGATGCTGATAGCACCTTGCGCTCGCAGTGGCAGACCCGTGACGCTCACGCTCGCCTAGCCGTTCGCAGCCACCTGCCGTTAGATGAGCGCGAGCATTTTGGCCAGCATAAGACCGCCAAGGAACTGTACGACGCCGTAGTCGCGCGCTACTCCTCCCCTGCCACTGCTACTATAGGCCGTCTCTCACTGCCCTACCTGTTTCCCAACCTGTTCGCCTTTGCCACTGTCGCTGACCTCATCACCCACCTCCGTACCAGTGACCTCCGCTACCGTGCCGCGCTCCCCCCCAATTTCCTCGCGTTCACGTTCGCCCCCATTCACGTTCGCCCCCATTCACGTTCGCCCCCATTCACGTTCGTCCCATTCACGTTCGCCCCCATTCACGTTCGCCCCCATTCACGTTCGCCCCCATTCACGTTCGCCCCCATTCACGTTCGCCCCCATTCACGTTCGCCCCCATTCACGTTCGCCCCCATTCACGTTCGCCCCCATTCACGTTGTCCCCATTCACGTTCGCCCCCATTCACGTTCGCCCCCATTCACGTTCGCCCCCATTCACGTTCGCCCCCATTCACGTTCGCCCCCATTCACGTTCGCCCCCATTCACGTTCGCCCCCATTCACGTTCGCCCCCATTCACGTTCGCCCCCATTCACGTTCGCCCCCATTCACGTTCGCCCCCATTCACGTTCGCCCCCATTCACGTTCGCCCCCATTCACGTTCGCCCCATTCACGTTCGCCCCATTCACGTACGCCCCATTCACGTGCGCCCCCATTCACGTCCGCCCCCATTCACGTCCGCCCCCATTCACGTCCGCCCCCATTCACGTCCGCCCCCATTCACGTCCGCCCCCATTCACGTTCGGCCCCATTCACGTTCGTCCCATTCACGTTCGTCCCATTCACGTTCGCCCCCATTCACGTTCGCCCCCATTCACGTTCGCCCCCATTCACGTTCGCCCCCATTCACGTTCGCCCCCATTCACGTTCGCCCCCATTCACGTTCGCCCCCATTCACGTTCGCCCCCATTCACGTTCGCCCCCATTCACGTTCGCCCCCATTCACGTTCGCCCCCATTCACGTTCGCCCCCATTCACGTTCGCCCAATTCACGTTCGCCCCCATTCACTTTCGTCCCCATTCACGTTCGTCCCCATTCACGTTCGTCCCCATTCACGTTCGCCCCCACTCACCTTCGCCCCCATTCACGTTCGCCCCCATTCACGTTCGCCCCCATTCACGTTCGCCCCCATTCACGTTCGCCCCCATTCACGTTCGCCCCCATTCACGTTCGCCACATTCACGTTCGCCCCCATTCACGTTCGCCCCCATTCACGTTCGCCCCCATTCACGTTCGCCCCCATTCACGTTCGCCCCCATTCACGTCCGCCCTCATTCACGTCCGCCCCCATTCACGTCCGCCCCCATTCACGTCCGCCCCCATTCACGTCTGCCCCCATTCACGTTCGCCCCCATTCACGTTCGCCCCCATTCACGTTCGCCCCCATTCACGTTCGCCCCCATTCACGTTCGTCTTTACACTGTAGCCCCGAGAAGCGAAAACAGCCGCACCTGTGCAGATCATGGAGCAGGCAATTTTCCGTCGTGGAGGTCCCTGACTAGTCGCTCTCGCTTCACTCCCAGGTATTTTCCAGCATAATTATGGGTTTTCGAACTCACAAATGACGTCTTTACATTGAAGAAAAAACCTCGTTTCGGACGTTTGTAGCCCCGAGAAGCAAAAACAGCCGCACATGTGCAGATCATGGAGCAGGCAATTTTCCGTCGTGTAGGTTCCTGACCAAACGCTCTCGCTTCACACCTAGGTATTTTTCAGCATAATTGCGGGTCCAGGAACTCACAAATGACGTCTTCCCATTGAAGAAAAAAACCTTCTTTTGGACGATTGCAGCCCCGAGAAGCGAAAACAGCCGCACCTGTGCAGATCATGGAGCAGGCAATTTTCGGACGTGGAGGTCCCTGACCAATCGCTCTCGCTTCACTCCCAGGCACTTTCCAGCATAATTGCGGGTCCGCGAACTCACAAATGACGTCTTTACATTGAAGAAAAAACCTCGTTTTGGACGTTTGTAGCCCCGAAAAGCGCAAACAGTCGCACCTCAACAGTTCATGGAGCAGGCAATTTTCCGTCGTGGAGGTCCCTGACCAATCGCTCTTGCTTCACTCCCAGGGATTTTCCAGCATATTTGCGAGTCCGCGAACTCACAAATGCCGTATTTACATTGAAGAAAAAACCTCGTTTCAGACGTTTGTAGCACCGAGAAGCGAAAACAGCCGCACCTGTGCAGATCATGGAGCAGGCAATTTTCCGTCGTGGAGGTCCCTGACCAGTCGCTCTCGCTTCACTCCCAGGTATTTTCCAGCATGATTATGGGTTGTCGAACTCACAAATGACGTCTTTACATTGAAGAAAAAACCTTGTTTCGGACGTTTGTAGCCCCGAGAAGCAAAAACAGCCGCACCTGTGCAGATCATGGAGCAGGCAATTTTCCGTCGTATAGGTTCCTGACCAATTGCTCTCGCTTCACACCCATGTATTTTCCAGCATAATTGCGGGTCCGGGAACTCACAAATGATATCTTCACATTGAAGAAAAAACCTCGTTTTGGACGTTTGTAGCCCCGAGAAGCGAAAACAGCCGCACCTGTGCAGATCATGGAGCAAGCAATTTTCCGTCGTGGAGGTCCCTGACCAATCGCTCTCGCTTCACTCCCAGGCACTTTCCAGCATAATTGCGGGTCCGCGAGCTCACAAGTGACGTCTTTACATTGAAGAAAGCACCTCGTTTAGGACGTTTGTAGCCTCGAGAAGCGAAAACAGCCGCACTTGTGCAGATCATGGAGCAGACAATTTTCCGTCGTGGAGGTCCCTGACCAATCGCTCTCGCTTCACTCCTTGGCATTTTCCAACATAATTGCGGGTCCGCGAACTTATAAATGACGTCTTTACATTGAAGAAAAAACCTTGTTTCGGACGTTTGTAGCACCGAGAAGCGAAAACAGCCGCACTTGTGCAGGCAATTTTCCCTCGTGAAGGTCCCTGACCAATAACACTCGCTTCACTCCCAGGCATTTTTCAGCGTAATTGCGGGTCCGGGAACTCACAAATGACGTCTTTGCATTAAAGAAAAATCCTCGTTTAGGGCGTTTGTAGCCTCGAGAAGCGAAAACAGCCGCACCTGTGCAGATCATGGAGCAGACAATTTTCCGTCGTGGAGGTCCCTGACCAATCACTCTCGCTTCACTCCTTGGCATTTTTCAACATTATTGCGGGTCTGCAAACTCACAAATAACGTCATTACATAGAAGAAAAAACCTCGTTTCGGATGTTTGTAGCCCCGAGAAGCGAAAACAGCCGCACCTGTGCAGATCATGGAGCAGACAATTTTCCGTCGTGGAGGTCCCTGACCAATTGCTCTCGCTTCACTCCCAGGCATTTTCCAACATATTTGCGAGTCCACGAACTCAC